CTATTGCGCCCTCTCTGAGCGAATTAGTGAGCTTGGCGGATATTAGATTTAAATGCGACTTGCACGTTACGAATAAAGACGGCGCAGATTTGAAAGATTCGGACTGCTTGGCACCAGTTAACAACATTCTGCACAGCCTGTTCCATTCGGTTACTGTTACCATCGGTGGTCGGAATGTCACGGATACAAGCACGTTGTATCGCTATCGTGCATACCTAGAATCATTGCTCGGTTTTACGGATCAAGCTCAAAAATCACAACTTACCCTATCGGGATTTGTATTGGATAATAACTGGGAGAAAAAGCCTGGTCATGTTACAGATGCAACAACAAAAGTGAATCGTTTCTGTAGCGATGGGTCAAACAAAAGACGGGATTGGCTACAGAATATGAAACCGTTGCAGTTGTCAGGCAAACTTCACTGTGACCTGTTTCAACAAGATAAGCCACTCTTGCCCGGAGTCGAGCTCACAATTAAGTTGGTGCGGAACAAGAACGAAGTGGTTTTTGTTGCTGACAGTGATAGCAACGCCCCGAAAATGGTGGCTATCAGAAATCCGCGCTTGCAAGTAAGAAAATATGAACCTTCTCCGGATTATTTTACCGCCTTGAGCAAAGAACTACTCAGCACCACTTCAAAATATCACATTGAGCGTGTGGTAATGCGTGAACATACATTGATTCTTGGTCAGCAACAAGCTGTTTGGTCCAATATTGTTATGGGTCAGCTGCCGAAAATAATGATTTTTGGCATTGTACCGAGCCGATCGTTTGCTGGTGAATACGGATCATCCCCATTTAACTTTACACATTTCAACTTGACCAATATCGTGGCCGAGATTGACGGCCAACTGTTTCCCACACAAGGCTACAATCTAAATTACGAGAAGGGCAGTTCGATACAAGGCTATGAAGGTCTGTTGGATACACTTGAACGTCTCAACGAGGGAGCGGGTGAATTGCCAATAGACCGTGAACAGTACAACAAGGGTGGATTCTGCCTGTACGGATTTGATTTTACGCGTGGACACACAGGACGAGGGGCAATGTCCCTGTCCCGCCATGGGAATTTGAATATACATATGAAATTCGCCAAAGGTTTAGAAGAAAATGCGGTGTGTGTAGCCATGTTGGTGTTCGATAACGTGATCGAAATTAACAACAACCGTCAGGTTATCTTTGATTTTGCACCATGAACAACCTGCAAATCCAAGCCGCATTACAGAAGGACCCAAAAATCCGAGATATTTTTGTGGGAGTGTATTCTGCAAACACACTACCGGACAAAGAATTTCCTGGTGCTTACATTGTCAACACAGAGGTAGACGGCAATCGCGGCGAGCACTGGGTGGCATTTTACTGTGTATCACCAGGCATACTAGAAGCCTTCGATTCTTATGGTAAAAATCCGGCCGTATACTCACAGCACATCAAGAATTGGATGGGTGACGACTTTCTCATTGTATCTAACACGGAGCGGCAAAGTGTAGACAGCACAGTCTGCGGTCAGTACTGCATGTTCTTTGTTACGCTACGTTGCTACGGATACTCATACAAGGATGTCATGTCAGCACTAACCAAGCATAAAGGAGTGAACGATGTGTTCGTATGCAAGTTTATTAACAAGTTTTTCAGTATGCGAACACGAGTAAAAGACCGCAACTTTATAAATGGACTTATCGCAAATTAACAAAAAGCAGGTCGTGGCCACCTTGTTCTGGGTGGTCATGTTTGGCCTTCTCATCAGTTTCTATTCCCCTGCAAATCTATCAATCCATTAAGGGGAAACAGAAACATTACGGAAATTGATATTAAAGCGTCAAAAGACGTGACAGAAGCGTTCCTGAACACTATGATGCTAACGGATACCAATAAATCAACAAGCTATAATGGATAAAAAGGATTTCATCTTCTACTGTATTATTTCCACATTGTGTCTCATTTTGTGGACACTGGAAGTGTACGTTCAAATTAAGATGACATCACAGCTGCCCAGCGATCCCATCATGATTCCCGAGGCCATGTTCAACAAAATCTTCCATAACGTGACTAGCATGCTGGGTGGAAAACAAATATACAGAATAACTGGTTACGGACCACTGACTGTTTAGACAAGTGGCAGAAGTAAAGCTGATGAGACTGTGCAAATCCACGAAGGTAAGAAGGTCAGAAGTCAAACTGTAAACTGCCTTGTACATTACAACGGCTGCATTCTGTCTTTTTTTTTGAACAGCCTGTTCCTTTTCCATTCTAGAACACTGAGAATGCCTGTAGACGCCATGTCTGTTCGCAAAGAGGAGAACGGCGTAAAGTATTTTCGCTTCAGCGACACTCTTCGTATGGAATGGCGTGTAGCTAGCAAGTCGTTTATACTTGTGCGTGTCAGTCCTGGCGGTCCTGCAGATGATGAGACTAGTGCTGGGTGTGAGCAGTGTATAGAGAGCATGGAGGAATATGACGTTCGTGTGGCTCGTAAATTTATCAGAATGGAGTTAAGCGGTGAAATGATCCAGGCGTTGAGAAAGTCCATTCTTAAATGGCAGCCTGTAGTTCGCGTGATCGTGGATGGCGTGCGCAAAGAAATTTTCATCAAAGTGAATGGACGTGCGGTGAAAGAGCAAGCACAGATCTGCATTATACGCCCAACCGATGGTGGACCTTTGGAACTTTCTGTGTTGGAGTTTCGAATCCTTTGCGCAACTCTAATGACTCTGGTTGATCAGTAATGGTAAGCACGCTTGTCAGAACTTAATGGGAGAAAGCATATAAGTTTTCAGTGTCAGATGTATAGCTGTTTTTGCGTACGCGTCGATATCAAGGAAGACTAGCAAGAAATAGTCATTTACAACATTTTCTGTCTTCAGCAGCAATCATGGAGTCTGATGGGAATGACGATTCTTCTTTGCCGTTTTGCTGCAGCGCTGACGATGTATTATGGTTTTGGTTAAGCGACAGTATACGTGTCGGTTTCAGACCATTAGATCAGCATCTTATTATCGCTTCACTGGTTACACACATATCCAGTTGGAGTCTTGTACGAACCATCGGCGAGTATGATGATACCGTTGTTAAACGCATGATAGAAATGCATGAAGACGACTCATTTCTTCGACTGTGGAATCGTGCCATCACCACACGAAAAACTCAGTGTTATCGGATCAGGGATGCCACAGGGAAATCTGTTCGGATCCGCTTTAGACCACGCTGTTCGCAGACAGACTGCGTGCGCATCAGTAGTGCTGGGAATGTGCCTTTGGATCTAACTCTTGTTCAGTTTCGTGGACTATGTGCGACATTAGCCGATATTGTTACTTTGTAAAAGAAAAAAAAAAAAAAAAAAAGAGGGCGCTGCCCCAAATTAGTGACGGTCTTAGCTTGTCAGAATAATTGACGGACAAGCTGACATCGTTGCTATTTTGGGAACCTTCTTTGCATTAAGGAGACACACACAGACACATACACAGTTAGCAAAACTACTACGCTAATATGGAATCGAATTTGGTAGAAATTAGCTACCCCGGCTATGAGGGGATCAGGACTTATCGCTTTGGAAATGGCAAAACATTTGTTTTTTGGCATTATACCGCAGGCAAAATGGTTTTGGCAAGAGATGTGCCATCGGTGGATGAGCACGGTTACAGGGAAGCTAAACGAACCGGAATAACTTTGACCAAGCGCGACTTGGAATTCTTAGAGTGGATGGTGCGAACAGAATGGTATACTCCGGATCTTGAAGAATCTGATTATACCTACAGACTGAATAAAAATTTGGAGATCAAGTTGAATCCTGTAGCTTCCATGTATACTCCGTCAGTTGAGTTCAGACAACAAGATCGCCAAATCAAGTTGTCTGTATTCACAATCATACAGATCGTGGAAGCGGCCAGCTAAACAAGATGACAGATGTCTGCCTGCATTTGCTTCCTCTATCCATCTAGGAACGGCTATGGCAGATAACCGGTAAAACACTTCTTGAAAATGGATATGTCAGACGTAGATAACCGCTGCAACAGCTTTGTCAACTGGCCATGTACTGAGTATTCCATAGCACGACTGGCGTTTGATGGATTCTTTTACAAGGGCGTGTACGACGAAATTCACTGTGTGTATTGCGGCCATGTTATGGGCGATTGGCCCAATTCTCGGTATAAGCCTTTCTATCGGCATCTGTTTGAGCGTCCGGATTGCCCTAACTCACAGGCAATGGCTGCTGGTGAGGATGACTTTGGTTCACAACATGATTTGCTTTTCGCTGCGCCAGAAATGCAAGATTACAAGACACGTTTTGCCAGTTATGCCGAATGGCCTGTAAGCAAGCAGCAACATCCACGAGACATGGCACACGCTGGATTCTATTACGAAGGAAATGGTGATTGCGTTCGTTGTTTTCACTGCGGCGGCCGAATTCACAATTGGGAAGCAACTGATGTACCTTGGGTAGAACATGCCCGATGGTATCCAAAATGCCCGTACCTTACGGAGACGAAAGGATCGACATTCATTGAAGAAACTCAAAAGAAATACGAAAAATCTGTTGTGTCTTGTTGTCCGTGTAGCACTGATGTTTAATACTGACTTCTGCTATTTCGATTTACTATATTGACTATCCAGATCAGCGGAATGCTGTTTTGCTAATCTCTGATTGAATAAAACAAAACAAAAAAAAAAGAGGGTGGGGGAAATCAAACAAAAGAAAGGGGCTAATCATAGACAGTGTACAAGCTAATACGCTATTGTACACAGTACAGCCAGAATAGGTTAAATGGTCTGTACGCTATTCGTTTACAGTACAGCATGTCTGTACGCTATTGTACACAGTACATGGCCTGTACGCTATTGTACACAGTAGATTGTAGGCGGCATACAAGTTAAACCGGCCGTTCCGCTATTCGTACACCCTCCAGTGCATGGGGGCGGTACTTAGGCCAAACCGACCAATAGGAGAGCCCGCTATTGTTACTACCATCAACCGCTGTTGTTACTACTTCTCTTCTGGTCAGTACACCGGTGTCGACGAGTTACGGGTCCAGTTATGGATCGTCCGCCTCTAGTTACGGCTCATCATCCGGTTATGGATCGGCCTCTTCGGGTGGTTACGGTGGCTATTAGTCAAAGAACGAACTACGATATTGTACATTAACGAACACTGCGATATTTCGAACCTGGTTTTCTAACCTGGTTGACCTCTAGATCTCCGTATTTTTCGCACGTGCGACATTCTCTGTAGCCTGTATAATTTTGTTTGACCGGATTTAACTTTCAAATATTATTGTACCTACTTCTTCCATTCCGATAATTGCTCGCTTGCAGATTCTATCTGCTGGCCAGAAGCTCCGCTAATAAATCTACGCTGAGACTTTTATAAGCAGTATCGACATTGTACTGAGCATGTAATTAAGCGAGTCCAATAAAATCAGACAAACTACCCGGGTAGGTTGTTGTACAGAGGCGTACAATACAAGCACTTGGGTTTGCAACACAGATAAAATATGCGCAGTATTTAAACGATTTAAGAGAATGCACACTGCACCCTAACCGGCTTGCAAAAAAAAGAGTATTGTGGGTACATACGTTTTATGAAGTCACCTGGACGGTTGGCGAAACTGACAATTGAGATAAATTTTAAACTAACAATGCGAGCCGGACCTCTTGCTTGTTACGCACGATGTAATCTGGGGCTAGTAATTCAACGCTTTGCGTTTGGGCATTCAGCCATAGAACTAGTTTGTGTAGCATGTGTGGGTTCTGTCTTTTGGATTTTCGTCAGTCTTGTTTGTCGTGTTTCCAGAGTCTGGTAGATTTGCTTGTGTGCGGAATTTGTTTTGAAACATGTAATCCTGAGTATCTGTAGACTGTACGTATAATGCTTCGCCAGTACCATAAGCGGTATGCCGCGTTTTATGATTTAACTGTACATATGCGTAGAAAAAAGGGTGTCACGCATCACAATGCGAGCATACTGAAGAATCATGCAGCACAAATCCACTGACAAGTGAATCACATGAACACGATTACTATTAACAACAACCATAACCATATGGTCATGCACGCAACATTCCAGCACCTACGTAACCGTTCCGTACCACTCACAAGAAGGAAATCTAGAGATTTCGTGGCGGAAGTAGTGTGGCCACTTTACAGTTGCGTCCGTGCACGGGCCAGTCATCTTCCTGACAATTCCGCTCGCAGTACTTTGCTTTCTGGCAACCGGCACAGAGCTTTTTTGCCGGTCGTCCACAACTCCAGCACGGCTCTCGCACGGCTGCAAAGCCTTTCTACAAATCAATGCCAAACACCGGTTTATATGTTTTATGCTGCTCGGTTCTCCGAAGAAGGATTAGAAAAAAAACCCCAGTAAAAGGCAGAGATTTGCTTTGCCGATGCTTTGCAATTTTAAAGTATAATGCTTTGCTAACCTTTTCACCAGAAGTTGTTGCCATACTACTGGTAGTCATTGCTGGTGCAGCGGAATTTTGAATTTTCAAAAAGTGTTCAGCTTCTCGCATATGCGCTGTTGAATGATCCAGTTGAGTTTTCAGAGTCATAAGCGATTTATGGATTTGGTTGATAATGTCGTGTTGTCCGGTTATAGTCGAGAGCATAGCCAGTTCAACTGTCATGCTTTCTGTTCGAAAAAAGATAAATGCCTTCGGTATTATGGCGGTACATTAGCTTTTACGGGGGCTCATCGGACCGGGAAAAAAGGTGTCATGATAAAGGTGACATTTTTGCCGAGATGTTAGCCGTACCCGTTGCGAGTCAAAAGGATTATGCCGTCGAAGCTTTGCGAAATTTATTATTTGTAATTCGTGTGCTTTTCACGTAAGCTAGTACCTGATTCCATTCTCGTTAAATTATGCATTGCCAGCCACTGCGCCCAGGATTTTCTGTATTGCTCCAGTTCGTTTGATTTCGGACTGTTGGTAAACATTTTGCTCGTTTCTGCTTTTTCAAATGCATACCACTGTAAGAGATGATTCAGACGTTGTGCAAGATTCGCTACACGCAGGGGAATGTTGTCCAGCCGGTTCAGGTCAGCAAACTGCGACTTCCGTTGTGTGTCGGCGGCAACATTTGTCTGTACCAGCGGTTTTGCATCACGTTGACCTTTGCTTAGCGGTTTTTCATCCCGCCCAGTTCGCAGATGGTGGAATAATTGAGGGAACATTGCGCTCGTGGACACGCACCTTTTTGCACAGGTTACTTGTGTTAATTTCGAGTTAAAGTTTTCAGTCAGTGCAGAAGTAATGCACTCGTATACAGTATCATAGTCTACTGTAGCACTTACGATGCTGGCTCGCGATGTATTGAAGGCGATATCGGGATTTCGTTAGCTGAGCCGGTAAACTGATCCTTGTTTGGACCCATCAAGTTTTCCGGTGTTCGGGTCAGCAACTGGGTGTGTTGAGATAAAAGAAGAAGCTCCCGTTGCAGATGGGGAAGATTGGCCTTGACGAATGGAACGATGAAGCGCTTAAGCGGCACATCGGCAGACTGGACATGTGATACAAATTCTTCAGCGCTGATTTTATTGTTCTGCATTCAAATTAAAGAAGACCGGCGTTAAATGCGTTCGCACTGGCCGCATAAAGAATTACATAATCAGAAAAGGGTTTGCCGGAAAGCATACCAAAAACCGAAAACCATAATAGCGAATTTGAGAAAGTTTAAAGTGCCACGTTTGCACCTAATTGTATGGTAACTAAAAAAACTTGCTATCGGTAAAGCATGCATTCTGCGGAAAATACAGATTAGCTCTTCGCAGCTAATAAAAATATGGATTATCATAGAGAAAACGGCTTTAATGCAAATTTAAATATTCATTCATATTTATTACCTTAACGACTCCCATATATAATCCTATCCTGCGCGTTATGATAAGTGTAAGGGCAAAACTTCCAATTAGAAACCTATAATTTTGTGTTTTTTGGGGTCGTGCAGACCTGCTTTTGAAATTAACCCAAATTTAAATGTTCTCCTAGTTGGCTAGTTCGATCCTAATTTTTAAAAGAATATGTAAACTTACCACTAGACTCCATATGGCCAGTCGCACTTGCTCCGCACTGCCACTGGAGACGTCAGCTGCAGCCTGCTGGATGCTGGTAAGAAAGCGTTTCAGTTTATTCAGCTGTCGGGCACCACATGTCGCCGGAAGTACAATATCCACATCGACCCCATCAGATCCTGAGTCACCATTACAAGCACCGGCCGCTATAACGTTTTCGTACGGAGCCCAGATATTTGGCTGCGTGCGAGGCGCATGATGCTTCGAAAGGTCAAGTGGTGCCGCAGTGCTGATAGGCGGATTTTCTGCAACTGTTGGAAAGCAGAACCAGAATTAACCAGTGCCGACGACTTGCCGACGATAAGCGGCCATTGTATGGCGATTATGATCGATGCAAATTGGTTACATGTACTCTTGCCCGAAAAAAACGTCCTTCAACTAAAACAGAAATTTTAGAAGCCCTTCGTATTCTGCGAGATTATTAAGTATTGCGGTTGCAGTCCGAAGGCTGTAAGCCTCCAATTCTTCGAGTTACTTATCCCTAATATCATGACTACCCTTTACAGCTGATGCCCCTCAAAAAAGTTCACCCATTCACTCGTTTTATCTACATAATTTTTCCCTGTATAACTGTGCTTATTTTTGTGGTTTCGTGTTCTCTCGGTGCATGGATGCCTTCTGCATCCCCACATGGATGTCGGTTCGTATTCATTTCGTTGACTGTTTAAGTACTACCGTAGTACTTAAATATTCAGGGTCAGATGTGGTACGACTGTATATATGGTAACTCCCAAATGATCCACTCTCACCGTCAGTTTTGCACTTGTCGATATTGCTTTTACCTTTAAATAGAATTTCATTATCCTGAGTCCTGATTATCTGTGAGTCTTTTTGGTGCGCATCATAAGTACCCTAATTTCATGATACGCGTGCCGCTGGTAGCACGTCGATTAGCAAATGCAATGCCGCCGTGACCCATGTTATCATTTAGCGGTCAAGAACAAATCTCAACCAGATTGCGGAACATACAGAGAACACTATACGCGTGAACTGAAATTTGATAAAGAGTTTTTTTCTGGATACAGTGCGAGTGAGTCGGAGTGACTAATCATCGGCCAGTCACCGTCGACATCCGGTAAGCATCTGGTAATAAAATGGATCTTGGTGAAAAAAATTAATTTCGTTTACCCAAATGCAACACAAATATCTTAATTAAGAATTTACGATGCGATAATATCGCAGATCGTCCTTATAAAGGCTCTACATCGGCGCTACATCCAGCGCTACATGTAAATGATATTATCATCATTTTATGTATATCTGGGGACATCAAAAACGCTCGCTTCTTTAATTCATTGGTGTTACGCCATTCTTTCGGTCTTACCGCTGTTGTCGATTTCGACTGGCTAGATTCTGGTGTCAAATGAACCTGCGATCAAAGTTGTATAACATTTTCGCTCAAATTTTTAAGTCTGCACTCTGCACACATGCAAAATATTAAATTTTGCTTGCCGACCGAGATGGTAATATCTCCTGCAGCAAATATCCGGCTATTTACAGGATATGCTGTACTCTGTACATGATTTGATGTCTCGGCGCAGCAATAAATACGTAAGGTTACGTGATTATTTTAGTACGGATGGAACAGTAGATTACTACTGAAATTTGACTAAATATATAGAAAAAATAAATTGAATGCATTCCTCCTTTAATTGGACTCTTTAATACTCGTACGTTACTATTCATAAAAGACGCGGATCTACTGATCATGATCGCGGCTTGTGGATTGTCAGTGAAAGCACTTCTTTGGATATACGGCTAACGGTGAGAAGCGGTGCTTTTGAGTGGGCTTACGTACCGGCTTTCCTATCCTCTGAACAAATCTCTGGAACATCCATGGCTTTTGTTGCACACTCGACGGACAAATCAGATGGATCATCGACAATCAAGGAGGAAATTACAGAGCTGCATCTACTGGAAGTATAACAGGACCCACAACTTGCGGGCGATGAATGACGGGTGCTGGATAGTTCATCCATCTTTGCAAAACTCGTGCAGCTAGCTAGGGCGAAATGGCGTGAATACGTTCGCTTGAAATGAGCACCAAATGCAGCAACAACAAGCCAACTGTGCAGTAACTGCAGTTACTGTTTGTTGTACAGAAAGAAAACAATAGTAAAGGTCATCCGGCAAAGCGATTTGTATATAAAATAAGTTGTAATAAATCAACTATGCGTGCACAGGGTAATTGGTCATTATTAACTCTGGCTTCGAAAACTTACTCCTCCTAATTTTAGCAGCTACCAAGAGCGAGTCGATAGTTGCGCCATGATAAGCATGCAGATATGGGCTATTTCGGAAGTTGCTCTGATTGGCTGTAAATTTGTATGGACATTCGGCAGCTTGTGTCCAATAACATATACGAATGCTTATTGTGCCCTGCATGTGCCGCGTTCAAAGATATTTACCTCGACATGCCGACCATATTGACATTATTGACATACCTTGCAAGTTGTCCTTTTCAATCAAACACAGCAAGCTGTCTACGAGGATTTATCAAGTATAAATTCTTCTGACGCTTCTGTTTGTATAAGAGTCAATACTCCCTCTGCACACAGTAACATTTTCAACTTTTTAAATGCAGATTTAATGAAATGTGTCCCTTTGTGCAAACCTCATGCAGTTTGTTTACACTGTAAACTTCTCCGCATCAATATATCCCACAAATGCAGCGGTAAAGCAGCGTGCTCTGGGTTTTGCACAGTAAGTACTTGTAAGTACTCTTATTATTGCAATAATTACTGTACGTGTCTCAATATCAGAATACACTTACGGACATTTTGCAACAATAGTTTTACATATTATTCTACTATTTTAATTTATGTACAGTATAAGGTGATAAAAATCAACGATAAATAACAAACTATAAACGAACAACTGTGGTTGATACTTGCTACCTATATGACGCTAAAGCTGTAGCGTCACAGTAATAAGTATGTAGAAAAAAAAGGCACACTTTGAGCAAGGTACATTGTATACCAGTAAAGGGATACCTTGCTTATCTCCTATATACATACCATGCTTTGAGTCTCGACAACAATGCGTCTCTGTAGTCTGCAAATTGCTGAAAAGTACGGTACACGTCGCTCAGGACCCAGAGAAAGACTACGATTACATTAATAATGTAATATATTATATTATATTATAAACATATTTTACACAGGCGTAATAGCTTGCCGCATCTGTTTTGGAGATCGATAGGACAAAACAGCTTCAAGTATTAAGCTTGTAAGGACATGTACTTCTATCGATCCATTTACGTACTTATACAGTAATTAAAGTCTGTTAAGTATTAAAATTATCTAGAGTCCGAGTATAAACCAAAACTGAGAAAAGTTAATTCCCGACAATTTATTCGGCAATTTCGGCACTTCCGGTCAGGACCTCAAATACACTAGGGTAGATTATTGTGTCTTTTCGTCATGCGCATTACCACAGATGCTTTTGACACTTGGAACACTTTGGAATACTACGGCACAATTCCACACGAGAACGCGGACATTGGGATAATACATAATATTACCTTGCAAGTTAAAAATTAATATTGAACCGGAACCGTTCGCTGCATTCAAGGGGAGCACGTCCATACGACCCGTTTTGCACGTATGGCCTACCGTGCACCAACCGGCTCGCCATATGTCTCACGCCAAGGGCGACTGAATACAGTAATCAGGTTTGGCATCGTGCAATGAATAATCGGTAAACTACGGCTGGTGATGGCACCCGTTTTCCCTGCAGACTATAACATCGGTGTTTTTCTATCCGATATTTCTCGAGCCATTTCATAATTCCCTCCATATCGCCAAATATTATCCATCAAACCGTCGTAAACCTTAGCTTTATTGCCCCGGTCGTTGTTGGAACAGCGCGGAGCCGCCTATCGCCCAAGTTATCTCCTATCGTGCTGCAGCAGCGCACTATTGCGACATTGCCAGATAACGCTACATAGCTACTAGCACAGCTCATTCCGATTATTCACAGCCGCGCAAAGCCCCACACTTTCCGCCCTTCCCGTGCGTCTGTGCTCCCTGTGGGTCCCGCTCAGTTCCTCCTTGATCTCTGCCGTTCCCGGCTCGCCAATTATGGCTTCCAAGACCACGGAGCATGTCACTTTCGTCGGCGGACAGCCCAAGCAGGCGCCGAGTAAAATGCGCGATTTCCTTAATTTCCTCTATGATAAATCAACGGGAAAGGTCCTGGGACGGACCGGAAAGAGCTGGCTACAGATTACCGTCTTTTATCTGATTTTTTACGGAGTTTTGGCTGCATTCTTTGCAGTGCTGCTCGTGCTCTTTCTCCAGACACTGGATACCACACAGCCCAAATGGGTGAAAGAGCAAGGCATTATTGGCAACAAACCCGGTACGTTATAGTGCTTCTTGTTATGTATTTAAAATTAAATAATTTAATGTTAAGTATTTAAAAGTTAAGTATTTAAAATTAAGTTTTTTGTCAAATTTTTTCCTTGTAAACCTTGAGATGATCAGGAAGTTGTTCGGATGGAAGTACTTGTGATGCTTATGATTTCGTTGATCTTGGCACTTGACTCGGCTTTGTCGACCTTGTTTGCATTTTGCATGCTCGGATTTTGTGTCATTCGTATTCCACTGGTAAAATTCTCAAACGTGCCATTTTTACTAAATCATTTTACTTATTGAGAACAAATAGATTCAGTTCACAAGACTCAGAGATGTTTCCTTCCTCAAATGGTTGGTTATTTGAAATTAACGTGGATAGTAGGGTAAAAAATTTTGTTTCGAACTTTCGATTGCACAACGTCAAAGTGAAATTTACTATTCTGTTTTCAGCTGTGTGGCATTTATGTTCCACTAAATTTGATTGTTCAAAAATTTTTGAAAATTAATGCTCCAGGGGGAAATTTTTTTGTTTCGAAATTGTTTTACAGAACACGAGTGCACTTCCTGCTGTCTCTCACTGTTGCGTATTTTGTGAGGTTAGAGTAGCCAGAAACATTTTAAGATTGCTTGAAATACGAATAGCGTTATGGTAGTAAATTATGCCAAGGATAATGGCAATTTTGAGCTTATTTCATGCCAATTGGTACATTTTGAAATTTCATACTCTGAAATTCCAAGGTTGTCAGTGCGACTCGTGCTTTACTTGACCGGAAGTTTCTACACTGTCCTTCTGCTCTTGAAGATAATAAATCGTGTTTTAAAATGTCTTCTGTTTAATTTGTTTGTTTGTGCTTTCCATTGAACACTTGCGTTTGCCTCGGTCATTTACTGGAAATCAAGCGGAAAATAGCTGTTGTTTATGACATTAAAAAACATTGCATCACCTCGTTAGCTACATTTAAATGTCTGCGTTATTTGAATGGCTTAGGACATTATCGCCAGCTTAAGTACGCACGTACTTAGCAGTTAACCGAGATGTCTTTTATGTGTGAATTTTGATAGCTCACACTTTCATTCGGCTCGGAATTATTTATAAACTTATGAATTCTAACGATTTTTCGTTGTGTTGTTTTGCTTCTGCATCTTGGTTATTAGGTTGCCTTTAAATTGCTATTCGTTGGTGCTTTTAGTGGTTACAGACAATTACAGTACTTCACCATCAGGCATATCATATGTGTTAGCTCTTCAAAGAATTGAGAGATTTTGAACATCGTCCTGTATGCCTGCGTATCGTACCATATAAATAAATGGAAGTGACGTAGCTATTTTATTTGTTTTTCACAGAAAAATTTGCCAAATGTTTCTTGATGTAATTTGTGCCTGAAGGCCTGTGGTACTTTCTGTCTCTCCGGCACTGAAAAATTTTTACTGAATGTACCCAGTGCTCACAGTTTCCCTATCATTCATTTATTACACGCATTTTTATTGGCCCGCGATAAATGAAGGTTATTGGAAAATTGCACAGAGTGATATGTTAGCGCATTAGATGGCACGCTGGGTTTGCACGCCAAATCCATATCGTGACATGCGCAGGTTTTCATTGATTTTTCGGTCTGTTGCAATAAAGTGCTCTGCGGGTTACTGGACAGTATCGCTGTTTAAAAAACTGCCACTGTCAGCCAGAAGACGTTGCAACATTATTTTGACTGAGCTTGTGAGAGACCGTTGATTTAGTTTTTTTGCGATTTAATCACTTATGGCGCCCTTTTAGAAAACATAATAGATAAGCTTCTGGTCAAAACATTTTCCGCTGAATTTCCTTTTTGAAAGAATGGATACATGTGTTTCGGTTATTGCGGCCCTTTATAGTCTTTATTTGGGCAGATATATAATTATGACCTGACTTTTAAGCTATAAAAAATAAGGTTGGCGTAATATTTCACATCATTTGACAGATTTTATGTGATTGTGATTGAATTTAAGCTCGAACGTATTGTATGGCACTGCCAAACGTAACATATATTGACTTATTTAATTTTACAAATATTCCCCGCACCTAGTTTGGTACCCTAGTAGTTGCACGCACCAATAGGAATCAAAGAATTTTAGGGATTGTTCTTGCCATGGGCATAAGGAAATGAAATTGCACAACACAATGTTCACATTGTGGTTTTTAGAAGTACAATGAGGGTCCAGATGCAGACGGATAAAATAAAGTTTTGCGTATAAATGTTGTTACCAGCGTTTTTCACCAACCAGAACCGTAAAGTGGCGTGCTGGTATATACAGAAAACAGATTTCGTACGACTCTGGTGGACTGGTGATGTATTGTCATTTGTCTATTGTTTCCAGGTATGGGTTTCCGACCGACCCCACCCGATACGGGAAGCTCACTGATTTGGGTAAAGACAACCAGTGGACAACCGACGGAAACGACTCAGAAATACATAGACAGTCTAAACGAGTATCTGTTAGGTAAGTTCTCCCATACTAATGTACACTGTATTTTCTCCCGTTTAGGTGAACATTATCCAAAAGAAGTGGTACCTTCTTTACACCGCATCCATATTGTTATAATTAATGTAAAATGAGAAACATTGCAGTGTTCAGTTTTGTGAGCGGTAGACTATTTACCTCGAATAGTAATCGCTAAAATTACTGAATTAAAAATTGAATAGCGGGCGAATAAGTATGTGTTTATTCAAAGAGCATGATCTTTTTCAGCATATGACGCTAATTCTGCGACGCATTCGGATGGCAGCAACATTGACTGCACCAACAGACGTCCGGATGAGAAGACGAAGGTTGTCTGTAGGTACCCCTTGGAAAAACTGGGCCCCTGCACGAAAGAAAATAATTACGGCTACAAGCACGGACAGCCTTGTGTTCTCCTCAAGCTGAATAAGGTGGTTCATTGAAAATTTTTGTTCTTTTACATCATTTAGCACTTGGTCGTACTATTGAGTGAACCCTAACTATATGACACAAAAACTGCTAAAATGTTGTCATATGCACTGGGCATGGTTTTCTTAAATTAACGAAATTTTACCTTTCAGCAACCTTTTAATCGCGAAAGCTTTTTTGAATTCAGCGGCAGCTTTCTTTTAAAAGATGACTTTATTGTACTGTTTTAAATTATCTCTGAACGGATTCAGGGAGCCGATAACTGGCTAAACTAAGAAACAATCTCAACAAGGAAAACTAAGTACATATCCACCAAGATAGCGACAAAAACGTAAAAGCGATCAATTATTATAGCACACTACTGACATACAGTACACGTAGAAATAAGCTGTGGGTTTGTTGTAGATTTTCGGTTGGGTGCCTGAGCCGTACAACGCGACGGATATCGCTAACAAGAACTATCCGGAGGATCTGCAAAGATACGTGGAAAAGCAGAAAATCACCTTAAAACCCGATCAACTGTACTACACGTGCAGCGGACAAGATTCCGTGGACAAGGAGAACATTGGTCCCATCCGCATCCATCCCGAATCCTTTTCGCCTAACTTCTTCCCATATGAGAACCGGCCCAACTATCTAACTCCCGTGGCCATGGTGGAGTTCCTCAATCCGCAGCAGGGTGTGGTGATCAATGTGGAATGCAAAGCCTGGGCCAAGAACATCGAGCACAGCCGGACAGATAAGTTGGGACAGGTGAATTTTGAGCTGATGGTCGATCGATAGGATCGTTGGACGGTGGTTGGTGTGTTCGTTATTATCGGTGTGGAATTGTCTTTTGATTTGTTGATGTGGCAGTGCACGCGCAGCTGGTTAGTTTTTGGGTTTTTTAAGTTTGGCGAGCTCGGCAAGTGGGTGAGCTCGCGGCGGCTTGTACGTGCTTCTTTTGACTGTGTTATGGTGTCTCCGAGTATAGATCATCCATTTTACAAGCATCCCTATTCTCCTGGTCTGTTGTATACATTTTTGCGTAGTCGTCCAATTAGACTTGACTCTATTTATGCGGTGTACTCATTGGAAATGTTACGCGTATATAAGGTTCCCTATTTCAGTGTTATTGTCGGTGTTTATTTCCATGATGCGCAAAAATATTGATTGTCTGTTATATGTGTTTAAAAGGTATTAAAGGCCATGTGTTTAAAGGCCGAAGGGAACGTTTCGCTGACTATTACTATATATAAACATAACATTACTATATATGGATTATGTACATATATGTAACAGCAGCAGATTATGTAGCAGTTTCCACGAATTATTTTTTGTAATGCTAAAAACATAGTATTATCAGAGATTGGTACAAAATATGGAAAGTGGTTGTATGGCTGCACAGAGAACCACATTCGTCGCTGAACGGAACTTCGCGCTACATGTAGAATCTAAGGAAGGCTTCGGCTTGTTGCGAAAGATTAGGAACCGGAAAATTCTCATGTCTTTTAGGTCGACTTTTTAGTAGTCTTTCGATCTGATGTTTTGACGAATTGTTCCAGAGACTGCTGAAGGATGGTCTTCAGCTTAATGTTAACCGGGACGGTATCATTCCGTCCATGGTGTTTAGCAGCCATGACGATACCCTCTTTGAGGTCCATTTTCGCCGGTTGACCTTTCAGTTTGATCTCGCGAGCAGTCTTAGACTCACCGGCAGCGCTAGCGCTGGCGACTGCGGCATTCTTGGCATCGGGTGGCAGTGTTGCCACGATGCCCATGGGGGGTTTCGTATCGGATGCAGCATCGGGCGCCGGAGTGGCACCCGCGGCGGGGGCCGGTGCTGCTGTGGCGGGCCCTGGTGACTTTGGGGGAGCGTTGTCGCGGATGAGACCAATATCGGCATTAGCTCCCATGATATTGTCCTGGGGGATCGGGGCGCCGATGCCTGGACCGCCCAGCGCCCAGTAAGCGAATTGCACCGGGTAAAACCATGGGAAGATTAATTGAGAAAAACATGTACCTGCGGTAATTACAGAAAGCAATCAATGATAATGATGAAATTAATAATTGTATCATCGGTATGATTCATATCAACATGCATACATCATTATTAACATGCATGTTGATAATGATACTGTAAGTTGTAATTCGGCACTCATAGCTCTTGTAATTTTTTATCGGATTCGGGATTCGCAGCTGACCATTTGATGATAGCCGCTCTGTTCGACTGTTCGTCATCCTATGGTAATACCGTAATGCCCACGTCCACAAACAAAATATATAAAACGTATATGGGCCTATGACTAGAATTTCGAACATTTAGCAAACAAAAACGCATGCACTGTTACCGTTGTTGTTATAATATGGGAAGTTGGGAACCGTAAGATATCATACTTATTAATTCTTAATACTTAAACTTAATTCCCCTAATAACCTGCATAATTAATTTCACTTGCATCGGTTGAATGCTTCTGATATTACTGACAACAGGTGCAATTTTGGTAACAAAACATTGTAACCCGGCGTATTAATTGCGAAGGAACATTTTGTTGTGATAAACTGTTTCATTTCAACAAAAAAGACTGATCATGAGAACGTTGGCGCAGAACTAAAAGATGATTACATATACCTAGCATGTGCCATGTGAACAGATTAACTATTTCTATACTTTTCGAAATTATTATTAAATCTCACTTCTTGCAACCAAAAAACCAACTCAGACCAACTGATACTTATAACTTCAGTCTGCTGACCATGATGTGACCGCCCAGTAATGTTGTATTTTTACAGTAGACCGAACAGTAATACTGCAACTACGTTTCACTGCACTACGAAAAACATTATTATTGTAGCGATAGAAATTGGCTTATAACTTTGCCCCCAGTAAGAGCGTTAGTAGTTTTTATTAGCTGTATTTGCCAATACAGTAATCTCTTACGATGGTCTCTTACGCTGGCCGCGTTACGCTGCGCTACCGTTGCTACTGGCGTTGCATAACCGTAGTACATTAGGTTGCTCGTGCATCCCAACCGTTGTTACACGTGTACATGGTAGTCAGCTTCCGGTCAGCAACGCTGCCGACCTTGCCAACCCGCCACCATGAACAGCCGACTGCAGATTGTGGTTACGGATGAATCGGAGTCGCCGGACCATGCACTAGCGCAGCAAAAAAACTGCTACAAAATTGTGTTAAGTACAGTATGTGGTTGTAGTAGTTACGTACTCAGTAAGAAAGATAAGAAATCCATGATCAGATCATCAGAGAGATACTTTACTTCATCCATTTGATGAACCACTGCGGCAAAGGTAACGTTAACACCGATACAGGATTATTGCCGATAAGTTTAAATTTCACCAAGTGTTACTTACAAGGCCGAGTAGGACTAAGTGCATTTTTCAGCCAACCCTGCATACTTGTGTCGCACCAAAGCCGCGCTAAGGAAGTACAGAAAGAACCCATTCTGTACTCTTCGAGAGACGCGGCATGGTTGTACTCCTAAAACTATCTGCATATTTTCTACTTGCATACAATTCCATGGTATTAGCACACAAAAAAGAGAATCAATTTTATTTCAGTTAGGAATGATTGCCCTTTGGAATTCTAAAGTCATGCACGTTACTCATTCAAGAGGAATGCATGTGCAGCAACGGTTAACACGTATTTACACTTAGAGTAACTACTTACTAAAACGGTTAAAAACAGGGCTATTTACAATTAGAACTGGAAAGTTTCAGTTGGCGGTTGTACTCGTACAATATAAATATCATTTGACAAGTTTATTATTGGTAATGAAGCACTGCATATGATTAACTGCAACTCCAATTATTCATAAAAAACTGCAACTACTGCATTGCTCTGGCTGAAAAGGATGACACGTAATAGGCGTAACAATATTACAGTAATACCGCTGGAATTTTATCAGCCTGCCACTGATCGTAAACAGAGTAGTGTACAGATATACTTAGAATAAGCCAATAAACTTTTATAATACTCGTATATAATTATAGATATATGTAGATATGCCCCACTACCTTTATGTATTCGTATGCAAGCAAGTTAAAACGTTTGCTTATTTTTTGGGAAAGGCTACTGCGAACAGCTATATACGCACACACTTGCCTATTACAAACGTCAATAATCCCACGAAGATATGAAAATCCATAATTGTTAAGTTTCGCACAAGGCAATACTTATATGTGAGCAAGAATTGCTAACTAATACGAATACTTCTTATTAAAAAATTATAGCAATTATGCAATGTACCGTGTACGTATTAAAAAAACACCAAAAATACTTCTGAACTACAAAACCAGCGTCCTTACTACTGACTTAACAATAAGTGACTTCATTCAGTGCATTAATTCCGATCGAGTATTCTACTTTGACAATTAATTATGCACTTCCAACGGACAGAAACGCTTTGACGTTGATGGGGTCTAACGTGCATTAGCATTTGCACACCAGCTCGACACTCGTACAAAAGAATTTTTGAAAAACCATTACGCAAGAAGTAAACTTACTCACCACATCATTAAGACACTTTAATCAACTTTCGACGATCGACCGGACGCTGAACTTGATTTGTGGGTGATGTATAGAGAACTTCATGTACAATGTAGCGAAATTTACAATAAAGTGCTTGTTTTGCCGCATTGTTATATAGCGAAACACAAGAACTCTACAATTGTCATTCTTGTGAGACACCGGTACAGAACACCTATGAGCGTGTTCTTATGTCCGAACTGGTTGTTTGACCCTGGATAAAAAAATTGTTGCTTAGTACTTACTACCGGCACTCAGGTTAGCAAGCACGCAGGCGTTTTGTATTACACATACTGCAATTAAAACTGAACAAATATCGCGCACGCTGCTTACATCAAATCTACTTTAGAAGATAAATTAATTATTAAAGTATGTTAAGTATGAATACATACGTAATTCAGTTAGGGGGCATCCATAAATTACGTACGCAGAAAACCACAATTTTTTCACCCCTCCCTCCCCCTTCGTAGCGGTCCGTCACGTTTGCTTGACCCCTCCCCCCTGGTTCGCTCAATCGTAATACATGGAGCTGACCACCCCCTCCCCCCTGGGTTCGTCAAGGCCGTCACAGCTTGTCACACTTTTTGGACCCCTCCCTCCCTGGTTCGCTGCGTACGTAATTTATGGATCCCCCCTTATTATACGCTTTGCTCGTCATAGAATATCTGTACGTTTTAGTTATCTACAAGTGGCTGTCTATCTGTCTGCAGTTATCTTTGTAGTATTTACTGAAACCCTTTTGGTTTAAGAAGAACAGTCCATATGTTTGCATATTTTGCAGCATTAATAACGTTGATTTCGCAAAATTAATGACAAATTTAACAACGACCGTGTGTGATGTTGAAAGCAACACAGGTATTGTATTACACAATGGCAAGTGAAGCTGTCTGCGAACGAGTACAGTGTACCTCGTTTACCTCGGTTTCTTTGATTACAGTACTTAATTTTCTGCATAACTGTGTTAATTCTATGTATGTATAACTTCTATACAACGGTCGAGTCATCTGTTATTAAAATACCAGCAACTGCAAGCACGACATGAAAAATTGATCAGAACCCGGTAATGTCGCTGTTGATCACTGCATGATGCATGAAATTTAATCATTTAAACCCATCCCACATTCCGCAAAAACTACCCTCTCGAGAGATTTTTTCTTACGTCCTGGAAATCTTTGAATATTGCATTCCCGGCAGTCTTTCCGTGCAACGGTGCCGACGATCCGCAAAGCAAAGCGCACAGCTGCATCCTGTTGTACGAGCACATAGAACAAGCTGATCCGCTAGTCTGGCTGCTGACATACCGCTGTTTACTTCTTGGTCGTACTTGCTTACCTGTGGCACCTAATGAAATTATGAAATCACGCGCATCTTCGATCCGGGAGCACCGTCGCTGTAAACATTGGAACTCTGGCTTACATATTTTCGTAAGGGCATAAGCGTATCCTTAACACTTGTGCTAACATTCATATGAACCATAGTAATTGATTCGCTTACGGCGGCCGGCGAGAGACATCGATCTTTACGGTAAAATTGGAATTAGTGACTTCAATTATCGCGGTGCTGTAATCGTACCAGTCTTTAGGCTTTCTCGGATGTCGAATATCTTACGAGTACATATCTTTGTAGTGCAAATGCAGAGTAAATGGTTTTCTGTTTAATACAAGTAGAATTTATCACATCAGTAGTCTAACAAAGCACCACAATTTCAATATATGTATTTACAAGATTTTTACGAAAACATCACATGCGTTAGGTATCTCTTGTTTACAATGGCATCTCAAAATCAAAACAGACCCCGGAGTCTTGCAATACCAAGAAAGGTCATGCCCACCTCTGCGCTGAGACAACTGTTTCGATGTGTACGAGGTTACAGTGATATGCCAAAAGGATATGACTACCTGAACAACAATTTCATCGATACAACCCGATAATTAAAACGAAGTTTTTACGTCGCAATCGTGGTTATTCGAAGTACTCCCTAACCACGATTTCAAAACAGAATGGCCAGCATCTAATGGTTTTGACCACGCGCCCTTGGCCAGGTGTGCCGGCAGCATCGCGAGCTGCAGTCGGGGTCGTCGCTGATCGGTCCTCAGTGCGTTCGTTTTTCATTTCCGCTCCAGCCGGTAGACTAGTGAGAGTGTTGATCCACAGCGTAGTGGTCAGAATTAAACTGAAGAGCAGTAGCAGATACACATTGGCATAACAGCCGGTCAGTCCGCTACCCAGCCATTGCACAGCCACGGCGTAGCCCTCCGGTAGAATTAATGCCGACGACTGTACGCGCTGCAGATCCCCGGTGACCTGACTGAAGACACCGTTGGTATCGCTGCGCAGTTGCATTGTTATCGCGGTGATTAGGAGGAGTGTGAAGAACGTTAGAATGGTCAGACAGCGGAGATGGCGGGCGATGACCTTTTGATTCTCCGTTCGCATACCGGTAATGCCCCACATTTTCGTGATCACAACGAGTAGAAAAAACGCAGTGATATAGTTGCAGACGTGAAGGGCAGAAAGTTCTTCATACGGAAGTAGGACGGTCGCTATGCAAGTATGCATACAGTAAGTAACACAATTACAGAGAAATAATAAGAAAAATCTGTAACCGGCAATGAACATAATTTAAGTAATAGAGTGAACTACTTAAAACTGAAAGCGGTCACCTATATTGTAAGCAATAACGAAATTAATAGACTCCGTAATTACTGTATATCGTATTATGTAATTTCACTTATCCTGTGGATTAATTTTTCAGTTCATTGGAATGCTTTAATGATGTTCTGTATTCGTAATTAGACGATCGCAACGTTCAAAAAGACGAATAGTTTTCTTGAATCTGCAGTACGTACTGGTAACGGTCAAGGGCACGATGAGGAATTTTATGCCAATGAGCGCGGTGGCAACGTGTCGCAGTTCTTTATAACCCGAACTGTTCTTCAGTTGTGGCAGTTTGTTGCATTCCTTAGCTGGACGACTGGCAACGGGTACGCGCTGAGTCTTGGTCGCTCGTTTGGGTCTGGGACTGGGAGAATCATAACAGGAGTAATTGTAGTTGTACCTGTCGCTGTCTATTAGGACCTGTGTGACACTGCCTCCAAACATTTTCCAAGGCTTGAAATATTGAAATCTGGATTACGGAACAACATGCACAGAAAGAGGGTAAAACAAGTAACGGGGTAACTGTAAGGTTGGAGATCGCTGCCCTTTTTAAGGCTGCTAGAGATCGCTGTGCGAGATAAAATTGTGTAAATTATTTGCGCAGGAATTTCATTTTCGGCTTAACATTATGGCATTGGCATCTGGTATCAAGCAAATTGCAGTTAATCAATAATGCGTGCTCGTCAGCGCATCGCTCAGCATCTGAAACGGGCTAATGATCTGGATCCCGGTATTGCCGGAAGTAATCCCCCACACAAATAATGCCGGTATGTAAATGCACATACTAACCATAAGTAACACCAATCTTAGCGCACTTTATTGCAACTGAACAAGTATCGCTCGCATGCCACATGAAACAGAGAGAACGTTATTCACACCAGCTATCGATCCACTAATCATAAAATACATTAAAAGTAACAATAAAAATTCAGGGACAGCCTCGCAGCATTCCCCATAACTAGGAGTGAACATGCACTGGTAAACCGGAGCGCTGCCAACAAAAGAAGACTCCACCACGTGATAAGCAAAAGAACGCTTTCGTAACAGCAAAAAAGGAAGAAGCAGAACACTGCTCCTTACAGTGCAACATCGGATCGCGATCCGGTGTAGTGAGATGCGTATAATACGACGCAATACAGCGCGTGCCAACAGAACTGACGGGTATAGAGTGTATCAATAAGATAAAAACGAATTAAAAATTAATAATATTCAGAAAGTCCACTATTTGCGCTTGTTGGACAGATCCTGCACTTCCTCCTCAGCCTCGTCCTCCCCTTGCTCCATGTCCACATCGGCCGGGGCCGCTGGGGCGGCGCTGTCAGCGCTGGATGCGGCGATGCTTAACGGTTTGGGTTCGTCTTCCTCTTCCACAGGGGCAGACGGTTCTTCCTTCTTCACCAAACTCAACGCGGACGAAGAACTTTCCTGTGATAAACTATCGCCCTTTTTACCAGATTCTTCGGCTCCGTTTTCCCCGTCCACTTCGTCTGAAAAGAAAATTACAACGTCAGTTAACAATAACGCGTTCAGTCTTCAGGAAGTTCGTCACAATCTACACTGAAAGGAAATTACGCTGTTTACTTCTCCACCTTTATACAACTGCGAGACTTACGATCCATTCTTGCAACTGCAATGTTACTAAAATAACCATATTTTCTAACTTAAACGCCCATAAATCTTCAACCAGCCTTTACTTTGCGTTTTCAGTGTAAGTAATATCATGTAATGCACCTTTAACTTCCGCTGGTTCATCCTGCGCCTTTTGCAGTGCCTTCAGATTGGCAGGCATATTATTAACCGGAATGGCAAACTGCGAGCCAGCTTTGTAGTAGTCCGTGATGGGGAAAGGACGATCCTCCGTCGGCGCCGTGGCCGAAGTCGACGGGACCGTTGCTGTTGCAGGAGCGGTAGCAGGTGGTTGCTGCTGGTTGCCCGTTAACTGTGCCAATATACCGCGCTCGGACATTCCCAAGCGTTTGCTGACCGACGGCAATGAGGCCTGCGCAACCGGAAACTTGGACATGTCGGATTTGAGATCACTTAGTAAGTCGTCCAGTTGCTGCAAAACCTGTAAGAAACGATACAGACATATATAAAAAGATGAATAACCAAACGATGAAAAAATCTTACATCATGCATAAACCAATAGTAAATGACATAAATTGTAAAAATATTTCATCAGCCATTTTGAGAGATACCGGGAGTTTGTTGCAAAATACTACAATCTGGCGGTTTTAATTAATTTACAACGCTAGCGATGGGACTATGGGCGGGCCTCCCTTGAGCGTATTGGAAAATTTTACACGGGTCATCGAAGGCGCCAAAGCAATCGGCCTGGATATAACGTCGGAAAATGCGAACTGTATGTTACAGGCGGACCTGAAAGTATCCAGCAAGAAGCAGTGGACAGCTTTCTTATACGGTATCCGCAGCTGCGTGTCATGTCAAGCGCTAACCTGACACTTCTTGGAGCACCAGTATTAGACGATGCAATCGCCCCGATGTTTACTGAAAAAGCAACGACACTTTTTTCGGTTTGTGAGCGAATGCAGCTTCTCCCGCGACACCAAGCTTTGTACCTCCTGAGACATTGCCTCGGCGCGCCTAAAATTATTTACATGCTGAGATGTTGCAACGCGTGGAGGTATCCGCAGCAGCTGTACCAGATAGACGAAACGCTACGCTCCTGTTTCCAGCAGCTGTGCAACGTCCGAACCAATCATGATGACTACCCTAGTTGGCGGCAAGCCAGTCTCCCGGTCAGCAGAGGAGGTATCGGAATACGTCGTTCGGAGGAATTAGCTCTTCCCGCCTTTTTGGCTTCGATTCACTCCGTATCTGACTTGGTATCTCGTCTATTACCCGCACGGCCGGCTGTGAACGTCACGGAGGCTCTAAACCTGTGGAAGCTAAACGCTCGCCAAGTAGAACTGCCCGAATCTAACTTCCGGAAATTGCAGAAAACCTGGGATTTACCGCTATGCAACGTATCTTTGTCTACCTTGCTGGATGTGTACCGCGACGATGAGATTAATAAAGCGCGCTTACTTGCCCAGTCACGGCCGGAAGCAGGCATTTGGCTGAACGCACTGCCCTCCGCTCACATTGGGAATTTACTCGACGATGACACGCTGAAGATTTCGGTTGGCCTCCGTCTTGGTGCAGTTATCTGTGAGCCACATGACTGTATGAAGTGTCACAAGCCAGTTGACAAATATGCACGCCACGGCCTATCCTGCACATTCTCAGCCGGCAGGCTCCCACGCCATGGTGGGCTCAATAACATTGTGTGCCGCGCCCTCGTTTCAGCCGGCTTCCCCTCTAAACTGGAACCGCGCGGCACCTCTCACACGAGCGAACGACGCCCAGACGGCTGTACTACGTTTGCTTGGCAGAGGGGCATGTGCCTGGCGTGGGATGTCACTTGTGTCGACACAGTCGCTGCTTCCCATATCAGGTCCACATCCTCGACTGCCGGATCGGCCGCGTTACAAGCAGAAGAAAGGAAAACTAATTTGTACTCGTATCTGATTGGGCGATACATTTTCGCTGCCATTGCCTTTGAAACAATGGGCCCATGGGGACCGTCAGCTACGGCCATTATCAAGGAAATCGGGAAACGTTTATATAATCAAACCGGAGAGGCTCGCTCCCATGAGTTTCTCCGGCAGCGACTGTCCTTGGAGATTCAGCGGGGAAACGCGGCTTCGGTTTTAGGAACAATGGATGGAGTTGAAAAGTTTATTGAACTCTTTCTGTTGTGATAATTAAGCTTTTTTCATTGTTTGGTTAACTTGCAAATGTTTATTGATTTGTACTCTGCCGTCGTTTGTCAATAAAGTGCTGTACGCTAGCTGCCCACAACTATAACACGGCAAACAAAAGTAACCGTTGAAAGCAGAAACGGTGCCAAAAAACCTTCTACGTACCTGACGATAAACCAGCTGTGCCGGGCGATTGCTGCTCATCCCGACCACCGCAATATCCTGGTGATTTTCTGCCACCGACTGCAAATGATTGAACGTCCGATACATCTGCATCAGTGGTCCACTGGGATCCTGTGTCAGCTGCAAGTAAGCAGCGCGTCGAATCTGCTCCTCCACCACCAAAGCCTGCTCCAACAGTTTAAAGCGGCGCTGCATAAACTTGTTCTTCAACTCCAGAAAGTTCATCTTGGCGGTGGCGGTCTTGAACGGCTCGTTGACAATGGCAAAACGCGGATCATTCTGGACGGCGTTGAACTGGCCGTAGCCGTGGTGGGCAATGCCCGCCAGCAGCCAGTAGTCATGCTTCCGGTTCCAGATCTCATGTTCGGGATTGGCGCGAATGGCGCGCTCCTCATTGAACCACAGCGTGTGCAGCTCGGTGAATCCCCCGTCGCAGATGTTAAACATGAAACGCTGTTTGGGTTTAATGATGGGCGGCTCCACCGCCACTGGAACAGTTTCTTTGAGATCTTTTTCCGATTTCTGCAAAGCGGTCTCCTCACGCTCCCCACTACCACCAGCCTCACCTTCAGCCTTCAGTTTGGCTTTCTCTCGCTCACGCCGCTCCGCATCCAGCTGCACTTGCTGAGCCTGCTTCTGCATGGCCAACAACAACTCCGGCATCGAATGTTTCCCGTTGACCGGTTCAAACTCCTTGACTTTCTTTTTAATCAAGCTGGTGATGCCAATCCGGCTGAGAATGTGATGTCGCGAGATGCCTTCCCGAGGCACACCATCACTGAATGTCTCCGCATTATCCGGACCGGGTTCGCACAAATGACGCATAAACATAGCTGCGTAAGCGCGGAAATGCCGTTCTGATTTGGCGCGCAGGTCACGCACGTTCCACTGCCATGACTGCTCATCGTCCGACGGAATACCATAGCGTAGCACCCCATTTAAAAATGACTTACGTTGTCGGGGATTGAAACCCAATACATCGAATGTATTCGGTGAGGTTTTGTTCAGCAGCGGCGGTAACGGGCCGTCATCCTTCTTACGACGTCGACCAGTCATTTCCTTCCCGCCTTCACCCTGTCCGAACTCATCATCTTCTTCGTCGTTATCATCCGATGGAGATGAGAACGACGAGTTGTCATCGGACTGGTTGCCGGCGGCGGATGTCCCTGCGCCTTGGAATTCTTCCCAATCTCCAGCCGCGGCCTTTCCCGTGCCATCCATAATATAGTTCACCCGTCGTCGCAGGCGTTTACCCTTTCCCAGGGAGCGCGAGATATCCTCCTGGTGCTGCTCAAAATGATGCCGCAGCAGCCGCTCCCAGTAGGCCGGGTCCGTACTGGGCTGGTTCTCTTCATCTTTGCTGGTGTCCGGCTGACTGTTTTCCTCATCGGCTTCCTCTTCTTCCGCTGGATTGACAATGTTATATGTCGCCACCTTAAAGGAGCTGAGATATTCATTCAAGCCCACTTCCTTCTCCTGGATACCCTCCAGCGAGCGGTCCAACAGTTTCTCCACAGCGTCATCATCGTAATGAATGGCGCCGGTACTCTCGCCCGTTTCTTTGTTAGTGCCTTCCCCAGTCGAACCATCCACATTATCATCCTTGAACAGCTCCTCCGTACCGAACTTGAGAATGTCATCCAGCTCTTTCTTACTGAACTGGGAGCCACCACTGCGCACCACCAGATGCGTCAACATCATCTTCTTCTTGGCCACCTGCGTGACGCGCTCTTCCACGCTGGCCCGCGTGACAAAGCGGTAGATCATGACTTTGTTGGCCTGCCCGATACGATGGGCCCGACTGAACGCCTGGATATCGTTATGTGGATTCCAGTCCGAGTCGTAAATAATGACGGTATCCGCAGTGGCAAGATTGATGCCCAGACCACCGGCGCGTGTTGACAAGAGAAATACAAACTGTTGAGCGCCTGGCTCATTGAAACGGTCAATGGCATCCTGACGTTGGCCTCCAGTGATCTGCCCGTCAATGCGCTCGTATTTGTACCCTTCAAACTCCAAGTAGTCTTCCAGAAGGTCCAACATACGCGTCATCTGCGAAAAGATCAACACACGATGTCCGCCACGTTTCAGCACTTTCAGCATTTTACTCAACAACTCCAGCTTGCCACAGGCTTTCACCAGCGCACTGCCCTCGTAGGCGCCATTGGGCATCTTCGCACCCTCTTGTCCGGCAGCGGAAATTAAGTACGGATGATTACAGCACTTTTTCAACTCCATCATGACGTTGATTAAACTGGATCCACCAGATTTCGTGTGTAGCGCTTCGTAGTTACGGGTTAGGATGAATTTATAGTATTTCTTTTGTAATGCTGACATGTCTACGCGCACAATAAACTCCGATTTCGTGGGCATATTATTCAAAACATCGGCCTTCAAACGGCGCAGCAGATGGTTGCCCATGATGTCGTGCAGCTTCTTCACTTGGTCTTCTTTGGATAAATCGGCGAATTCGCGTGTAAATTCCAGCATGTCGTTGAATCGATCAGGGCTGAGGAAATTTAACAAGTGGAACAGTTCTTCGAGATTATTTTGTAATGGAGTTCCGGTCAGCAGTAATTTATATCCAAGTGTGTACTGGTTCAGTACGCGGAAAAACTATATAAAATAAAATAATTATAGCCTAAACCGTAAATATTAAGTTATTTTTCTTTTTAGCATGTCCACATAATAAAAAGTCATTAATTTTTATTAATAAAACAATCCTAAACATCGGAACGTAACTTCAAAATTCGAAACGTTTTTCTAAATCACGAGCTTTTTAAATTCAAGTTACTTACAACTGTAGAATCGCATACAAATATCATAGATACAGAGCGGCCACTCTAGAATTCTTAACATTAACACTGCAAAACAAGAAGTAAGCAACATTTCTCTCACCTTTGACTGATTATTTTTCAGACGATGCGCTTCGTCCACAACCAATATTTTCCAATCAATGGACCCCAATGTCGGCTGATCCACGCTGATCATCTCCATGGACGTTAACAACACGTTAAATTTCACTTCAAATCCATCTCGCACCCTCGAAGCCTTCTGCCCACCACGAATCGCTCCTCTCTCAAAGCTAAACTCGTTTTCACGAATAACCGCTCGCGATTCTCGGTCGCCGATATACGTCACCACGTAGAAATCCGGGGCCCACATTTCGAATTCGCGCTCCCAGTTAATCAGCGTGGATAAAGGCGCAGTCACCAGGAACGGCCCTCGGCAATGTCCTTCTTTGTATAGCGAGTACAGGAACACAATAGTCTGTATAGTTTTGCCGAGACCCATTTCATCAGCCAGGATAGTGTCCGTGCCGTGCGACCATGAGTAACGCAACCAATTCAACCCCTCCAACTGGTACAAATGTAGTTCGCCGCCGGTGGAGGTAATGTAGTCCGGTTGCCGTTCATATTGCCTGCGAGGGTCACAGGTGGGTTTATCCGGGAACTGCCAGCGTTTTGGTTGTGCTTTGTCGCCTTTCTCTTTCTTCTCCTTTTTCTTCTTGGATTTTTCCGCAACTAAGCTGGCCTCCGCCTGCGCCCGGAGATCCCAGTATGCGTCCACACATTTCTTGAAATCCGGTACGTCTTTCTCCATGTCTTCCTCTTCCCACGACGACTGGTCGTAGTTTAAATCGCGCCATTTAACTAAGTATTGCATCTCACCGTTCCGTTTCTGCTGATGGTTGATAATGCGGTGCACTTGAATCCATTCGGGTTTGATACCATAGCGGTAGAAGCGTTTCCTCCAGTTCCGCCTCATCATGGTGACGAGCCCGTTTGGCTTCCGAGATCTCTTCCAATGGCGGCGGGTCATCCATGTTATTGCGCCGGAAATAGTTGCGGATCAGCTGTGGCTGATTAACGTCCAGCTGAATCTCTGGCACCCACTCACAGTGCCAGTAGGACAGATTGTCGTATTTAATAAAAAATTCCCGAATACGCGGCGGGCGCCTTTTGGGCCCTTTCTCCGGGTCGATGGGCAGGCCGGCCAGACCGGATGGGTCGATCCAGCGCCAGTGGAGGATCTTACTAACACGGGCGCGCAGCTGTGGACAGGTACAGCGCGGACATAACCATTCGCCTTCGGGAATGTCTTTCAGTGGCGGATTCAGGCAGTCCACATGGAATGCGGATGGGCACCCGTCGCATAACAGCAGCTCGCCGCCATCAAAGCACACACGACAGTACTCCATATTTTCAATGCTCCGTTCGCTGCGTTCACCGGCAGGCGGAGCGTCCACGTCCTCCTCTTCCTCCTCCTTGTCCTCTTCTGCTTTTCCGCCACCATTGATACCGTCTTGCTGACACTGCGGACAGCTCCATTTTCCTGTTAATACCAAACGCATGTTGAGATTGTAAATGCGCTTAATCACCATATCCTAAATAGTTAAGCCCCAAACAGCGGAGCTGCCATAGATTTCGGCCCTGCGCAATGGTTTGGTGGGCCAACAATCATACTGATGGTGAATCAAACACCGATCATACTATTCCTGGGAAAAATTACTAATTATGTAATCACAAGTTTAAAAATTTAACAATATGCAGAGATATGTATGGTTTCATACAATAAGGATTGAATTGTTTCTATTTGAACAGTAACGCGATGCGACCATAACCAATTCGAGTTGACGAACTACCGGGCATAGGCGAACCTCTGTTCACCATTATCATTACTAGTGATAAATTCGTTATCAACAAACGATTAAATATAGTTACAAAACGTATTAAATGAGATCCTATCGCTCTGACATAATACTATGAAAGGTAGGATGAATGAAAGTTTCGTCTGTACAAAAAGATAAAATAATACAAAGAAAGAAGTGTACTGAGTTCACTGTACGTAAATTTATTTATGTGCGCAAGGAGTTCTACTAACGTATATTAAAAATAATTGATATTATTTATACGAGTATATATATACTTCTACACAAAGTACATTTTTAATATCCCAGTATCCCATATCCCAAGTTCGGGGTTCTGTAATCGTGTTTGGGTCGGCTTTGGAATCTACGGTTATTATTAATACACAACCATATGCACTTTACATATATATATATATACTCTGTCACAAAATATACGTATTTTTAAAGCAGTCAATTCAAATGAAAGAAAGGCTTATGACGTCAAAAAATCTAATAGTCGTGTGCAAAAGGTGAACAGCCGTTGTCTGGATCGGAAAGATCCATATTGTTATAAGCCTATCCATAAAATCCATATGCACCACTGCTCGCACACAACTACTGCACTACATCACTTCTGTACACACATAATTAAAGCGTTTGTTGATTTCCGCAAAGCAGCTATCCAGGAGGCACAACCAAAAGAATGTGAGTACCCTTCCTAGACACACGGTTACTGCCGGCTGCCCACTATCTTAGACTATTCATCCCCCTATATATTCCCTATGCCGACTTGTTTCATGCTGCATACTGCAATAACTGCATAGCTATATGCAATCTGTATGCACACAAACAGAACGTTGGTGAAAAGGGCGCAGTTGTTGGCTAGTGGGCACCGGTGCATGATGTGCTGACGCTTAATGCAGCCGGTTCGGTGAAAGTAGCGTTACGTGTGCATAAACTTGATCTCTTCCGCCCTCTTGTCTCACTTAACACTTACATTCAAATGGAAAACCTGCTTTGTTTACTCCTTGCGAAAATCAATTAAATAATCGACTGGCGTCAGTCCATACTGGCTACTGCTGCTAACACCGACGAGAATGCTTACCTTCTGGAGCCTCTTCCAGTTCTGGATCTAAACAGACCAAATGGTAAGCCTTTGGACAGGTATCGCACAGAATAATCTCCCCGCCGGCCCCACACACTTCGCAGTAGTCCTGATTTTCCATCTCCACATCGGGCTTCTTGACAGCCTTTTGGCCGGAGCGGCTTTCTTCACCTTTTTCTTACTGGGAGCGGAGCTGCTCGGCGGTGTTCCACGGGCAGCCACCGACCGTTTCCGGCTGAACGACTGTTTGGAGGCCATTTCCTGCTTGTAGATATCATCGGCTTCTTCCAGCATCTTCTCGAATTCCTCATCGGAATTCCGATCATCACGCCCATCTTCATCCGAGCCTCCTCGTTTGCGCTTGATTTCGGTTTGCTGCTACTGCCTCCTTGGATTTGCTGGAGACTGTGCTGCGTTTTGGTTTCTTCGATTTGCTGCCAGGCGGCGATGCATCTTCCTGATCAATGGATGCCGCGCCTGATGTATACAACACGCTCTTAAAAATCGCTCATTGCCATTCACAAGCACAAAGAAGGGGAGAATTTTTTATAAAATCTGAATCAACTCTTTTGTGCCTGTTTCATAAAGAATACCGTATAATGCAGATAATTAATTCTATCACAAATATCGTTACGTACTTTCGGATACCGTCGGGTGTTTGGACATTTTCCGCACAGTTTCCGGGTAGGGATGCTTATCCAGGAATTCCCGCCAGTGAGCGCCAACCAGCGCTAGAATCTTAGCCATCGGGGCATTTTCGTTAGCCGACATTAAAAGCGGTCGCATATACTCGCTGAATTCTTTATAATTGGTCAACGTCCGATAATTTTCGTCTGTGTATTTGATCTCGATGTTCCTTAGGTTATTGTCAGCACAAATTTTATCGGACGGCTGTGAAATACATCGCTGCCATTAAAAATTAAGAACGGTAGACCATACGCCTGTACAACCTACCGATAAAACGCTCGATGCAGCGAGGTCGGCACTGTCTTTTTTCCGACGTAAACTACTGCGGCTTGCTTTCTGCTTGGTCGCATCGGTTCCCTCCAAGACGGGCTCCTCCACAGATTCCTCTTCAGCAGCCACTGATGGCTTCTCCACTTTCGGCTTGCTCTTTTTGCTGCTTTTCTTACTTTTTTTACTGCTCTTCTTCTTGGGTGCGTTCTTTTTCTGGCCGGTGAGCAGCGGCAGGTTCCGGTTCTTCTTCTTCCTCACCGTCGTCCGTGACAGCGGCCGATGCACTCGGCGAATCAGTGTCCTGCGATCGGTACGGATGCAGGTTCATGCTGTTGGCACGAGCGGACAGATTGTAGCCGCCATCATCATCCTCGTCGTCGTCGGCTTGGTCTCCCGCCCGGCTGCGTTGATTTCGCTACACAAAACACAGCGTTAGCGTCCACAGACAAACAGATACCATGCAACAATGCACACAGAACAGGCTGAGTGTGTGGTGCTTTCGTTAATACGCAAGTACTGACGCAAACGTAAAATTGTGACATTGTTTATCGTCATGAAATAATAAAAATCCGTAATTCTGTGTATCTCCGTTCCGTAAATAGTTCATCCTATCCCGTCCTAATCCCGTCCTAACCTATCCTAATCCTATGAGCATCCCGTCCTAATCCTATGAGCATTTCCATTCCATCTCAGTCCATAATCAAGATATTGCAAAGTTTTAGTTTCCAATCATGACGAAAAACATTATCTTTGCAGACGTTGCTTTAGTGAAAGTATCAATGGCGGTATTGGCAGTTATAATTAAAAAAGGTACTCGTATACTAGTGAATAAAATGTATTAATCTAGATGTACAAAGTAGTATAAACAAGTGCTGAACTAACATAACGCGTAAGTATGCTTCATTAGGCAACAAACTAATTTTCAAAAAGGATTTAACAATTAGATCAGTGAGTTACAAAGTGCGTTTCACAATGCACAAAGCAGCTCTTGCGAATCATACGATTCTTACCCCAGCGAGTTCTGCTTGGCGACTGCCAGCCACTCCTGGCCCCGCGCTCCCAAACAAACCCGAACCGTCCGCAGAGGCTCCAGCGTAATAATCAGATGACGTCGCACTGGCGCTGGCACTGCTACGACTGCTGCGTTGCTGCTGTTGGCGCATCTGCTGCTGATAAGCAGCATAATACGCATTCATGTCAATTCCGGCCGGCTGGGGTCGGGAAGAACCCTTCGCAGGAGGGGGATTCCCCTCTTCATCTGAACTCCGATCGGAATCCATCCGTAAACAGCTTCAGGACAGCGATCACCTTAATTCATCCCATAGAGACAATATCCAAGAGATGTTCCAGAAGAGCTCTTAGGAGTTCAAACGGCGATAAAACACCGTAAAGTACAATTTTAAGTTGTTAAACTGGAGAATAACAGTTGTTGTACGTGGCAACTACAGACACGAAAGAAAAGTCCTTCCCAAAATGTGCATCCAGATCAGGATCTGATAGCGGAGATCCACTGGTCCTTACCATTAGCCTCTTTACTACGGTTCTTTCGTACATACTCGCGCAATCGTATTAAAACATGAACGACAGTGCGTGCACTGGCATAGCTGCACGGTCGTACTACAATACAGAAAAGTTAGTGGATGCGCATAAAGCCACTTTCGTTCCAGTGGTTATGAAAGTACGGTACTGTATTTACACTATAGCTGTTAGGGAAATATTATTTAAGCGCATACTTGGAAAATCTCTGTATGGTATGCACTTATCCAAAGTGTTCGAGATGAGGTGATGATTGTGGTTTCCATTACCAAAAGGCAAGGAACTGTAGTATTGGAACCGGAACCGGAAGCAAAATGTAAGCCAACCTGTAGTAAAGACAGCTTGGACGCCCGTGTATGCACGGGCGTTTTTCCTTATAGTTGTATACCTTTGGTAACTTTTCTAACGATAAATAATTATTACGACCACATTTTTATTAGCTTGGCTTCTTGATCCGCAGAGGATTATGTAAAAAGGGATATTTTTCCAGTTGGTCCTAAATTGATCATTCAACGCATTTTGTTGGATGATCAATTGATGCAGCATACCGGATGTCTGTCTGGACATACGTACCGGTACTGTAAGTATGGGCTGTATGGACATACCGGTAAGTACCGTCCATATCACGATATACCTATTATTTATTAGAGTTTACAGTTAGAGCACAAGACTTGTACATAAGCGTAGCTATACTGTACTATAATATACACAAGTACGCATTCATTTCTTTTTAAAGTACCGTATGTATAAGGCTACAAGTGACAATAAATAACGCAGTGATTTCTCATTCTTTGGCTTCAACGATTTCAGCATTAAGTTTATACTCATGCAAGAATTCCAAACATTTCACTCCAGCTTCAAACAAACAAACATCGGCACTGCATCTTCAAACAAATTCAATTTTGCCACATGCTTACAGATGACAGTAATAAATCGTATTAAATATATATACATAATTCTTTTAACTGCTCACTCCTTCGCGAGGAACGAACGATCCCAAAAGTGCTGTCAGGGCCAGAAGAAAATTCCGATGCACGTGAGAAACTTTCTGGATCGAATAGCAGTCTTTAAGATACCCAAACAGCGGAATATTACGCAGTTAAGTATTTATTGTGGACTTAAGCGCGCCATTACCGCAGCCCCGCGAATTATATAAATTATGTAGGCCGCATAGGTAATACCTTATTGTTAGCAAAAGTACAAAGTCAGAAATTAGAAATCTTACTCTACGCACAGGCACAGAGTAAACAGGCGATTCCATGAACACACCAGCTCTCTCGTGATTGCCGCCCTCTAAATCATCATATTTTTCTGCTTCCTCCACAACAACGATATTATTATCTTTTCGCTCCTCTCCAGCAAGGACAGCATCCTCCAGTTGCAAATTCGATTGTGGGAGGCGGCATGACAGACAAGTCAAAATCGTGGTAGATATGACGAATCCCACAACCAGCGCGAAGTGCACAAATGTATAACACGTACTGATAAGGAGATACAGCAGTTCTAGAGCATCCATTTCGCTCTGTGTCGGATTTAGGTCGCCAAATGCCTTGCTATGAATGTGGTGAAGGACCTCCGTGAATGGCACCTCGGCGGATTGAAAATATAAGGCACCGTACCGAATCCAGTTGTTTCCACATTCCACAGGAAGGCGAACAGCTTCCATTGCAGGACAAAGAATTGCAGGTCAGACAGGATCGTCGAAGGACTTTCTTTCTGGGCACGCGAGGCCGTCTTCTTGCATGATGGTTGTGCCGTAGGTGGCCATATGGACGGCGGTGTATTTCCGGTAAGGCAGCAAGAACGCCGCTAAAGGTCAATGTCTGTATTTAGTGCAACACGGTGCTTTAAGTTAGCTAGTTCTCAAGTCTACCATAAACGGGAAACATTTATCTAGCTCACTCGTAGGTGTATTATACATGACTGTAGATTGTGCTATGAATTAAAGAAAAGCAAGAATTACCATACTTGGAATGACCAGTGCTAAGGTCAACGAGCCCAGTGCTAAACAAACGTACGCCACGCTGCGCAATCTGGCTAGTCCAGCCTTTGGTATGACATGCAGTGATGGTGAGTGGGGCAGTAGTGTACATTTCTCGCAGTCTTTCTTTTCGGGCGCCATTTGTAGATTTTGAGGACAGCTTAAACAGTGCTCTATATGGCTTTGCTGATTACAGCTTAAATCAGTAATAAAATGTTCAACAACATGCAAAAAACTCGAAATACTGTTTGCCCAATAAAATGCGTCTGCGTTACGGAAAGCAAGACATTCCTTCTGTCTATCCTTGTGCTGTAGTACTATTAAAAAATGTTATGGTCGTGCTTTCGAATAGCCGACCGCGTAGGCACATCGAACAGTCCATTACAATGTACACACAGGTACAATATAGCAAGACATAGTCGGAGGAAGTTCTTGACTTAATTTCGGGATATCATACCTAGATCCGTTGTTGAGCACCGCGATAGGCGGGGCCGATTCGACATTCGGCTCCTGCACGTCAGTATTGTTAGCCAGTTATAAATCTCTAACCTGACACCATGGCCGTGTGCCTGGTAAACAATGGTGCGCATTGCCGCGAAACGCTCCAAATGCCGACGCGCATGGTGACTTATTAATCAAAGGGTCTTTTATAACTGAGTGGGTGGATCAGTGATCACGATGCAACTGCATTCTATAATTCGGCCCTTATTGCCAGCACGCAGAACATTAGGTGGAGCGGATGAAATCATACAACATTAGTGCTTGAGACAGTGCTCTTTGGAAAAGACAGTTTTTCCATCGGGAATGGGGAATACGTAACACAGGCTGCGAGCCACCAGAAAATACGAGGGCATGGTCAGAACAGCGTTACAATAAAATCGTTACTGGCCAGTTGCCCTTAAAAATGCATAATATGCACAACAGATACATACTTGTATCCATATTCTCACTTTAATTTCAAAGCGCCGATTTACTGCTGAGCGGTCAATCCGGCTCCTTACACAGATTGGCTAATGGTTTTTTGCAAACACTAAAATATATATCAGGATAAGTAGTAATATCTTTCTATCATGACAGCCTATCCTAGCACTCGAATAATAACACTATCGTCTGTAGTATCGGTGGGATGTGCATGGGCGAAAAATTTGATCGCTCAGGACATATGTATAATGGATTTGTAGCACATACCAAGTCCGGTCTTCTGCACCTCAACAATGTCATCATCGCCATGCTTAGAAGAACTAAGTAGAAGTTTGTTCAATTCGGCATTTCATCAAGGAAATAGTTTTTATTGATTTCCTTTGTTCTTTTTATTCATGGTCTGCTTTTGTAAAAAAAACAACTATACTTTTTACTGTCATTAATTTTAGGCTATTTTTATGCACCTGGAAATTTCTTGGCTTGCACGTTCGCGAATTCTTTTATTATATACCAATAATTAGAACATCTTTTGAGTCAGTGGTGCGCAGTGCGCAATGAGTAATACTTTAGTAGCCATAAATTTTAATGCCCCGGATGTCTCAAAATTGCCCTTTACGCCGATTGTTTTCTTGTGGTGTCTTAAAATTTTAACGTCGGCAGCAGCCAGGCAGGCGAGCATCGAAACACAAACCCCTCAAAAGGATTATAAGATTGAAGGTTCGGCATTTTCTTGTGCTTAAGACTGGGATGAATGGTCACCTTGGAAGAACACCCACATACCGCGTAGAATAGCGACCTTTAGCGTGGATAGAACTCATACATCAAACGTGTTATGCCGGTATTGATTTTAGTATCGACTGATTCGTGACGGTGGCTCCGTTGCTTCCGCGCAAGAATTCTTTAAAGTTGACATGCAGTGTTACCAGTACTGACAAGAAAGACTAGGTCCTACGGTAGATAGTCACGGTCTTGAGTTACGCCTAAGAAGAGCATATAACCAGGCTGCTGTTGTACTTTCCTCCGCAGTCAGAAACTCAGAGTGTGACTTGCAGGGAACTGGGAAGAACAGTAAATGTCTCCTGATAATCTAAGCAGAGCTTAGTTTTCTGTAGTTACTGGCTTCCGATAACCTTTGTAATTACATAGCCAAGTATAATCGGCAGAGCATCCGATTTATTCAATACAAGTCTCCCCATTTAAAACAACACGATTTTCACCTACTTCACAATTTTATAAATATTTGTCGGTATTAACAGAGTCGGCATTCGACTGTCCGCTATTCCGGCCTATCAGCTAAAAGAGGATGTCCGAAAAATCCGTTGAAACCCTTAAAACACCGGCCAAGGTCGTACCACCGGCAGGATCCTTCGAGTTGCGCAGTGTGGCATGGAGTTTATTGGTCTGTGGAGGACTTACAACTGTTTTGACCATCGCAAGTAAGTGATATACATATAAATTGTGGTGTCGGCTCAATTAAAATTAGATTCATTCTCTTCTGTAATCGAATATCTATGTATTTATATCTATAGAAGTATACATAGTTATATACCTACGTGAGCGTGTATGCGCTCGTAGTTCACATACTTGTTGTACCTACCCAATAATAGCGCTTTATTTCACATAAGGCAGTTAAAATATAAATAAGCACTTCAAAAGAATAAAAATTATGATAATGTATACGTACAGCCAATAAAATGTATAACCTAATTTATACAAATACGCAGTACGAGTATACAATTTCATTCCGCATTGTCAGCAGTGATATTATGACTAATATTATGACGATGACTTATTTGAAGTGTTGTGATTTATTTGTTGTGATTTATTTTAAGTTTCGTTCCTTTTTAGCAATATATTTTTTACCATATTGGACATTTGCCATGCTACACGTGTACAACTGCCTCGTACCGCTTCTGCTGCTGGTTGTGGGAATCAAGATCAAAGCTGTGGCGCGCCGCCTGGCTGCCGGAACCTGGAATCCAGCAGAAGAGCCAGACTACGTGTCTTACATGGTCAAACGCATGGTTTGTCCTCTGGGAATCATTCTGGTGGGCTTCAGTGACTTCTTCGGCACCCCTTCTTCTCCCACGGGCCTCTTTAATCAAGTGATCGCCATGGTCCAGACCAAGAACTGGGGCCACCTCAGTCCGACCGACTGGCAGGTGGAGACACTGGGAATTTTGTACATGGGCATCAACACCTCCCATTCGGTGGCCGGGTTGACCTTGGCGTTTGGTGCCATCGTGGGCACCACGGTGTGGATTAGCCGCGCCTATGATGCGGCCGCTTCCGGTCAGGTCAAAGATGATAAACCCGATCAGAAGGATCTAGTTAAAGCTGTGGATGGTACGAGCTGCATGGTGGAGAACGAGATGGAAAGAGAGGAGGAAAACGAACACGACAAGATGTTGGAAAGTGCCGCTTAATTGGACACGATGGCTGGTTGATTTGCCCTGACATATTTCATTCTGCGGCGTACCATGTGGCCATGGCATATATACCACCAGGCTTTGCATGACTGATACCTCCCGGTTTTTAGTCTAATTTTGAGTTTCCAGCCTGCTTATTTTTTGCAAATTCATCAAATATCTTGAAGAAGAACCAAGTTTGTTCAGCTACAAAGCAATAGAGCTTATTTTTAACTGACATGTGAGCACAGAGATACATACAGTATCTGTACGTTAAGATATGACAGCGTATTTTGCTTTTTCTCGCAATTTTGAGTTGGCATGTAGCATTCATATGAAAATTCTGTATACGTTTTTGCCAAAACGGATTAGCTTAAATTATGTACGTGGATAATTATCGGAATGTAAAAATTTTTTGTTCTTTGTCTGTAAGCGCAACCATACAACGTTGATCGACAATCACTAATAGTTGTAAGATTGTACCAGTAGAACACTTTTTCAAAATCAATGTGACAAATTCATTATAATAGAGTTTGTAGTGCGGAAAATCCGAGCAGTCACCGCCACCTTAATCCTAAAATAAAGTTAGTAAACTAATGCACAAATAAAAAAATCACAGTTACGTATTCTGTAAACACTTTTTTCTGTTGCAACCCATGTTTCAATTCAAAAACATATAAAAGATAGCAGTACACTGCAAGCAATAAGCGCGAAGATTAAAATATGCTACTAAAGCTCATATTTCTTTATTGTTAGTTCCTTAACTTTTTTATTTTTGTTAATTCTAGCGACAAGAACAGATTGCGAAGTGTTCTATCAAAATTACATAGTATCATCATCTTTGGTATTCTGGAAGAACAATTGAGCAACCACAGTGAAAGGCGCGCTGAAAGAAAAACCAACTTAATTATCACACCACGGAATAGTCACGGATTACAATATTTCCCAAATTGTTATGCTACCGCATTACCACGAGAAAAGATCATGGGCACCCGCAGACAATATTTCTGGTAATGATTAGAAGAGTAATGATTATGCTCGCATAGTCTGTGCGTAGAATACATCCTGTTCCCTGCCCTTAACAATGGTGCTTATGTATACTTGTGAAACAGTTTCCGTCGCAGAAAAAGTGCCCTTTGCAAAAAATTTTCTACCCTTGAGGAATTTGTCAATAGGATGATTAGGATCAGCACATGTGTGCACATGATGTTGTGTATTTATGTACACTGACAGCAGGGAATTCATACATGCGCCCATTTCATGATTAGCCCACTCACATAAGCTCAGGTAATCAACCAAATTAATCACGCTCCTGGGTTCCAGCATCTGCAATGAAATATTCACGTAATCGTATACTTGCTTATTTTGTAATACGTGCTATCCACTTTAGGTCGAGCCGTTATTTATTATATTTTTCAGTTACTCTGCGACATTCTCCTCTGCAAGAACCATAAACGGCACTCGCAACAGGAAATTCAGACTCCGAGCGAAACGAAACGCATTTTCTGAAAAGGTCACCTCGACAGCTGGACTTGCTGAGCTGTGCACCGTGGCAAACATTCGCTTGGACCGGGTGTACTGGTTAATGTTTTGGTTATTCCAAGTGAGTTTCTTAATGGAATAACTAATCACGGTTTCTTAATCAATTAAAAGTTAATGTAGTATATTAATGATGATCCAGTCAATAGCGTCTTCAGTTTACCAAAGGGTTCGTCCAGGGCCAACCCAAATGCCCCAGGTAATAAGAAGCGAGTAAAATTAATAATCATTACACAGACGCAGTTTCACAAATTGTTGGTAATCTACACACACTTTTTCTTTAGTCACGCGTTGATAATCTGCATATGCTCCAGTGCACCTTACCAACTAATATTATGACTCTGATGGCATGCACATGCTAATCTAAAGGATGGACTCAGATGCCTTTCGGAGACAACAGCCGCTGACGTCGGTCTGCTTGCGATTTCCCAATTACCGTATTCGATGGCGTGCCGTTTTTTACATTTAGTTTGGGTTCGGCCAACTGACGTATCTGTGGAAAGCGGCATTAATGTTCAAAAGGTCTTCCCTAGGCCTCCATCGTGTTCGCAACGACTAATAGGATGAAGTGATCCCTTGTGCCGTGGTGATCGGATGTTCTGGGGATGCTGTATTGTGCTATCAGTGCAAGCAATGCTACGGTGCGTTTCGCGGTGGATTTCGGAATTGTCATAGCTATCTAGATGTGTGCGCTTCGCGAAACGGCAACAGCACATCCAAACCCAAGGAACGCTGTCATTAATACCAATGTGGTGAAAACGGAAAACGACCTGGTCGGCGATGATTGTGAGAGCCCAAAACACTGGAGGACACCTATGTTTAAAACTCATTTGGCACATCGATCGACGCTACGCTGGTTCTCTACCTTGTATCGCTACTTACTTTATTAATTGTTCACTGACTATTATTACAAAAACAGGATGATCAAACGATTTATCGTAACCTAAACAAGCAGCTAAGAAAAGGTCATTCAAATACCGGCCGCGTAACCGGCTGAAACAGTGGTTTTGCTGTGAGGAATAACTATACCAATCAGTTTGCATGATAAGCCAAAATTTCAGAAAAATTCACTGCCAAACTACAGAAATGATTTCAACTGAACACACCAACACTTCAGCAGCGCAGAAACCGCTCAGAATCTCAATCTCTCAACAAACAAAGCAACCAATGAAAGCTGACGAACAACCATAAACAAGAAATGGGATGGATATTAGCCCACAATTATCTATGATTAACTACATTAATCATTCATTAATTTTGTAGCACACTTTCTTAGCCGGCACGAGGCGGTATGTATTATACTGGTGCGTGCGTACAAGAGCACGACTACACTATCCTTTGTATACTGTAGATCCCTGATGTTTGTCTTAATTAAACACCGTGTAATTTCCATACATACTAATATAAATGATATAATGTATAAAAGCGTTTGTAAACATTAAATATATTGTACTTTAGTTGAGCTGCGTTAGTACTCTACTTCGCATTTTCAAATGGTGGATTTGCTTACTCCATCGATTGGATGATCGCATGTTAAGCAGGTAATCCATTAGCAGTCCACGATGATTGCAGTGTTTGGTGTGTGTGGTCTCAGCCTCAAGCGCCTGCACAGTATCTAGCGGTTCCTTTGGGCATTTGGAACTTCAAAAGTTTATGATTGTACTCAACTGCAGTCATAGGGTTGTCATCCCACCCTGATTTTGAGGTGTGATGTAATGGGAATGTGAACGTGAAGTGATGGGAATGGTGGGATTGGTGGGACGAAAATAAAATTAGTTTTAATGAATTATATTTATTAAGGCTATTTTGCCGCAAACACTGCGACAAAATAGTTACTTCGATTATATTTTGAAATAAAACTTATTTTGCTGTTTTCATAAAGTAAAATGTTGTAAAACACTTATAAGTTATCACAAGTGAAAATGCATTGTCAACCAAATCAAATGGACGGTGGTGGAAGCGGCGAAGCGTACAGTAATGTCCAAAATGCTAAAGGTCTTGCCTATAAATTTTCCCCAAGCAGCGCTAGCCTTAATTATAAGGAAGAAAATTTGTAGCGCACAAAGTTATGCAGCATAACCGACGCACAGGTAATTTTGGCACAAAAAACACACATTTCTGGCAATGGAAATCATCCCATCACTTACCAATCCCATCATTCATCCCATCACATTATCACGGCCACAGTTTTTTGGCATGATGGGATTGGGAACAGGAACAGCGTGATTGTGATTGATGTGTGATGACGTGATGACAACCCTAACTGCAGATCCGTATGTAACTGTATACCGTCCAACACTTTCTACCCCATTTGATATACCTGCTACGGGTTTCTTCAACGTAATTAATGGTTGCTTCGTTAAAAACTTAAAATATGCTGTAAACAAAGGCAACGACACATTCAAATAGAAGTATGGCTTTTGATGCATCTTACAATGACAACGTTATGTATTCTGCAAAAGACCGATCGATAATTTTGTCAAGTTTGCAACGCCAGTTCGAGTAACAATTTAGTTATTGACAGTCAACCTGCGCGGGATGCATAAATCAAAAGGGAACGATGGTTTTATTTGGAAGGTCACCATGGTGTGGGTGATCCTGCTGCAGATATTTGGCTATTTCCTCCATCCCTTAAAAATTGTCCTAAGTGGGCTGCTTTCACTTGCCACGTTATGTGCATTTATGTTTCACTTATTGCTTGCGCCACCGCCATTTGGCTGTATATCAACGTCCAATCCTATAACACCGGTGGCTATACATTACGGTTTTCGAATAGGTTCACACTGATGGTCATGCATCTGATCGATGCCGCTGATCCGATTTTCAACTTGGTTTGCATGCTGTTGATGTGGTCGTCGAGCAAAAACATCCTTGAACTGATGCAAACGTTTGACGCTCATTATGGGAACTTGCTAACGCAACGGGATCGCTGGATAACTGTTACCACTATGATAATTTACAATTTTGCTATGGCAGTAAAGAACGCTTATGCCCACTACCAAGAGCAATCCTATCTGGCTAACGCAGAATACCTTAATGAAATGAGAAATCTCACTTTTCCAACTTTTACAATGTACGATGCGGAATTCGTTACTCATATCGCTTACGGATTTCATCGCATTGCTATTGTTGGAAGGGACGTCTTATTGGGTTTTCTGGTTTTCATAATGCTGATAGCGAGCGCGATACTGCGTCGAACTACGCGTGACCTTTATTCGCAGTTGTTAGTCAAGGATGGGATTGTTCCTGTTGACAGCTATTTGCAGCAACTGGAACTAACCAATCTTGTGAAAGAACTGGACCGATGCTTGTCGATCGTCGCTGGCATCAGATTTTGTGCTGCTTTAGCTAATACGATAAATTCAACATTCGACCTTAGCGCAGAAAATGACGTTAACAGGCCTGTTAACGTTATGGCAACAAATATTTTTGTTCTCTGTTTCTTGACCGCAGTCTGTGTATATTCAAACGAACAGGTACGAATCCGATCCGTAACTAATTTTAGGAACGACTTCACGCGCAAATTTATTCAGTTACCGATAATTATAAATGCTCGGCATTGATTCCGATTTTTGGTTTACTTGACCAAACCAAATTAGTGCTAGAATAAAACTAGTGCTAGTAGTGAAAATGCTAGTGCTAGAATAGTGCTAAACTAGTGCTAGAATAAAACGGATATAATTTGTAGCACCTTCGTACACCGTAAGTACACTCGTTACTGGTAAATTAAGTGCAACGTGGCAGTGTCATAGGGTCAGCGCCATACATATGTCTCCAAAGCATGCCTGAATGTTGGGAGGTTTTCGGACTGGACAAAAAGTGTCTGGATAGCGATCAGTCTTCGAGAAAAACCCGGTGCACCGTGTTTTACTTTAGCCAGCGTAGAAATTACACGGGCGTGCGCATTCCAGGTACGGTAGTACGGTAAATACTGTGAATACTGTACGTCATATATGAACTGACCATGCATGCTTTTGAATGAAAACCGATTTCTAGCACTAAAAGTATCCATTCTGCATGGCCTTGAATGTTAATCTGGCTACTTTCTAGGATGAAATCTTTGTTTGTAGGTCGCAGCTGCTTTGGTAAGCACGTTACTGGTTTTGCAGAGTTGGCAAACGCAAACAAAACTGTGAGCGCGGATAAATCACGCTAACAGTAACTATACAGTGGATAAGCCATTACATACCACTTTTATCTAGCCTGTTGACAAGACTAGAAGATGTATTTTACATTATCCATGCTGTGTTATAACGCGCAGCAACTAATCATTTTCATTTGTAATTTCGTATGTTATAATATTACAAGATGGGGTTTAACTGCGCCGGTTTGCTGGGGCTCATAGCAGTGACAACGATTATTTTAATACCACCCGTACGCGAAAATCTTTAATTAACGTTTTTAAGCAAACCAAGGTGTTGGACAGCATAGCGGTGGTCAGGTCCGTCGCGAGACCCCGGCCCTGTGCAATTTTCAAAAAAAAAACTCCTCTTAGAGTTTTCATCGAAAAATTTTTCTGAATGCACCATTGGATTCGCCGTGAAATTTTGAACAAAATAGTTGAGACCGATTTTTGAAATTCGCATTTCCCCCAGGCCGTTACTAGGGGCGGTCGCCAATGCGGTCGCTAATGCGGTTGCCAATGCGGTCGCCGGTCTGGGGGAAATGCGAATTTCAAAAATCGGCCTCAACCATTTTGTTCAGAATTTCACGGCGAATCCAATGGTGCAGTCAGAAAAATTTTCCGATGAAAACTCTAGGAGGACTTTTTTTGAAAATTGAAGATTGCACAGAGGTCTCGCGACGGGCCTGGCCGCGCGGTGGCCAATAGGTTAGTATCTATCTGTAATGCAAGTTGATCTACGTAGTGAATAACGTCTGGCATCAAATAGTACTGTATGCGTTGGGTGTGTTTTTGTTTGTTTGCTCTTTCTGTCGTCGCTTACTTCTTTGCTCAGCTAAGTACGTAATTTGTTATTTGAAAACGGAGCACAACGCTTAATAATATGTGTTTGCTACAATCTTTTAGCTGCATCTATTTGAATTTATGACCTCAGGTTGCATTGCAGTTCTGTTAGAGTGCAACCTGAGACCGAAACCGCATCCAGAAGTACTAGTACAAAGTACGATTTTCACCACTGGGAGTTTTGAATGGATTAGCTTAATGATATACGATCATTATGCTTAATGATGCTGAGACCAGCAATGTAAAAATTATTATTACAGATGTGACGTTAATGCTGCAGCATATTGTATCATAGCGCAAAAGGAAAGTCAGCTGCAGATAGGAGTACGTATATACTATCTGTACATGTAACACAGGACAGCTTTTAAGGGATTGCTTTCATGATTTACAAAGATAACCCATGAAAAGCGAAAGTGCTAAAATTAGAAAAAAAGAAATTCGACGCGGACAGTCAGTAATAAAAGAGCACTCCGATTGGCTTACGTATACGCTCATTGTGTTTTGCGTTTAGCGAAATCCGTTCGTCATGATCTTAGACTTGCCAGTAAAATCGTAAACCTAATTTAAGCAAACATATCGGACTATTAAACTGCATGTGTTCGTTTCAAATTTTTCCCAAGCAGCCCTACATATAATCTGATCCGATATTATAAAATTCACTAAATTCACAATAACTTAATTATCAGTTGTCTATGCAGAAGAGTTGTTGGTGCTGTTTACTTGTAAGCAGCTTCCACATTGTCCCTGGCTATCACCAGCTAATTCGGCGAACACCAGCACACAGCTGATCAGAGCTGCTCCAGTCTAAAACCGTTCAGAGAATACAGCAGAAATTCGTGTAATTTCGCATGTATAAGTGGATAAAAATAGATCTTTCAAATTAAAAAATTTCACGTCATAGTACTGACTCCGGAACTAAAATTAATGATAACTTCTCCATAATCTAAAAAGAATGAATGGAGAAGCAAAACCGTTTTGGAACAAGTACCTGGAAAGCAGTTTCGCGCGTTACCACAATGCCGCCTATTGTGAAGTACGGCGGACGCTGTTGTTCCCGCTGCAGACAAAACTTGATCCAGTCGGTTTGTGAAAAATTATTTCTGCCTTCAACTTGAAGGCACGCTTCCACCGCTTCCGTCAATTTGTCACCCTAAGCGGCGAACCAAAATGATATTACTGTACGTACCGCCAATTTATAGCCGTTAAATTAATATAAGCAATCTGCGTATACCTGTTCACTGGAGTAAACGCAAGTAATGCCCAGGATAGTCAGAAAAACAGTGTATGTGATTATTACTAACGAAGGCTCTTTATCAGAAATACGACCAAAATTGAAGTATTCGCTCAGATCGAACGCCGAGCTGACGATGCAGCCGAATGCAGCACACACTCGAATAATCAGTATGACGGAAAAACATTCGTTCAAATCCCTTACAATGCCAGCAAATTCCACTTGCCGCATATATTCTTCACGATGCAGATATCCGTCGGTTTGCAACTGAAAGCGAAAGTTTACTGCGAAACGACGCGAGAGTTCACTGGTTATTAGCGCGATAAAAAAAATCAAGCCCGGTAAAAGGTGTCTTCCAATGAGTGCTATGCGGAGGACGCAGTAATACACACGCACAATGATCTCAATATTGTACTTTTGTGACAGAATGGGAAAGACCTCTTTGTAATACGTGAGATCATCTGCAAACCGCTGACCAGTGTCGCCGTGGTATATGGAATAAGTGTCACCAGAAAGCACGACCGAAAGATATATGACAGTGCTTGCGATGGTTACAAAACGATCTTTTCGGCTCATCGATGCTGCATATAATGTGTCAAGTTTTCGCAGCAGTTCCACAATTCGTCGGCTGAATATCCACATCAGTAACATACATGGTATGTCAGAAATACACATCAACGTATCGAAAAATCGCAGAACGATCAATGTGAACTTGTTGGACGATATTGAATCGTAGTTCGCGTACATATAATACAGTTCCATTGTTTCGTAAGCGAAGAGGGCGCTTGCTGAACCAATGACCAAGCCATAGACGCACATTGCAAGCTGTAGACATTTAAAGCGGATTGGATGGGTCTTTATTGGAAACAAAAAACAACCGAAGGCTTGCAAAAGCAATGTCCACAGTTTTGTGATTTTCCATATGAAACCACCGGTGTCTGCAGCACCGGTTAAAGGTTGTGACTTAACAGCAGCCTGATCATGGTCGTTGTTTGACGATTTGGAAGCCCTTAGATTTTGGCCTGGCATCTCAAAAACCAAGATTCACAAGAACTGGTGCGTTACTGAAATATTATATCGTCCGAAGTCGTTTTTTAGACTTTGTCTCACGTCTGTCTTTGTTCCTTAATTGGCTAGCGCTTGTATGTTTGCAATGTTTAACTGCATATGTGTTAGTTGCACGTAGATGCAAAGTTTTGACACCAGTGTTCTTGAGTTTCTGACAAGAGTGGATACGAGTTACAGTTATTTCCGTTCATGGACGCTGTTTCTACAAACAGTTGTCAAAATACCTATTTTATAAATTGGTGGCTTGTCAAATATTAGGGCCTCCTGAATTCTACAGCTATAGAATTCTGACTGCTGTGTGACACAGCTGCTGACTGCTGTGTGACGCCTTAAAGGCAAAAGCGCTAAGTATATAACTTGACCTTTTCTGTAATTCTTTAAAAGCAATGGAAGAATTGGTAAACCAGTGGAGGATACACTCAAAAACATAGGCGTGTCTGAGTGTCTCCATGGGGTCATTGTTCAGTGCCCGAAACTCGAGCCATGAGGCACGGGCCGGGGGCCCGGGAGACTGCGTCAGCCACAGTGTCATTGTAAGCCATTAAACATTATGGTTGAAGCCTTGGTTCGAAGTTCTTGCAACTTCAGCTGATGTTTTACAAAACAAGTTCGAGATTATCTCCATCGAATGCAATAACGGCGCAGCATGTTGTACCAGTGAACAATTCTGTGGAAGGTCACGAAAGCAAGATGGTATGTAGGTAGGTATCGTACTGCTTCAAAGATATTTTACACGCTTTTGACACACTGTAGGTACTCACACAAAATAGTCAGCAACAAACTTTGGAAAGCGGACGACTACACTATCAATATATAACTGACCTTTGTAGTGGCAGATTTTATGAATTATTTGGCGGCCATAGGAACCGGATAATGGTTTTGCTGACGCCCACGGCTTTTTGTATTTTCAAAATCTGTTCTTCTGCGCACGCTGCCGCACACTTAAAAAAGCACATGCTTTCAACTGTTTTAATCAGCTTGCATGAAGGCAGCGTAACTGCGGATGTTGCTACTGTATTTTTTATTACAAAGATTACAAAGGTTTTTATTTTCTGTTACAAAGTTGGCCTTTTCCCGGCTTAGCTTAGTTTACTATTTTTGACCTTTTCCCGGCTTGTTAATCAAAATCAGTTTGTTTTGATGACCCTAAACCCCTTTGCAAACTAAGCTTTACAGCCGATGCTTGCTTATCGAAAACAAAAATTTAAGCAAAAAGTGTCACATGAAATGCTCTGACGTACGGATCGAGTATGTTTGGTTGGCCGCGGGCCCGCGACAGCATACATCACAGGATCAGGTAACCATGGCTTATACTCCCATGACCAGCTGGACAAACTCTTGGTTGGTACTCGTACAGTACATGTATGTGTGTACAATGATCGGGTACCACCTTGTACAAACACCAAAAGAAACACAATTCGGTCTATAAAAAACTGCTTGTAAATTGTTCAGCATACTTCAAAGGACTTACTAAGGACTGCGTCACTTCTTATAAGCTGACACAAGTTTAATAAGGCACCATTCGAGAGAGTCCCAGCTAATACGATTAATTTACTTCGGGCATCTTAATTTTTTATTACACCAAAGGTCAGTCCACCGATAAAATTTTGGCTTTCCGACCTTTGCTACCACAACAACAACCTTTTTCTTGAAAACACACTATGTCTTCAAAGAAGGGCATTATTCATGTGGACGACAGCAGTTGTGATGGCATAAATAAGCATTCTTCAGCAGAAATCTGGTTGAAACTCGACCTTAAATTCATATGGAAGGCCACCAGATTCTGGATTATACTGCTGCAGTTTCTCGGCTGTTATATGTACCCTGCTGATAATCGTCTTATACGCTGGGTTTTACGTTGTTTGATGAACGTTTACGTATTGCTGATAACCTTGGCTAATAGTTTCTATGCTTTCGAGAGATTGTACGAAGAAGAAACTTTCATCTCAGCTAACAAGTTTACTCTAACAGTTCTGCGCGCTATCGATACATTAACGCGAATCTCTGATATACCTTGCATTTTTCTGGTGTGGTATCATAGCCGTCGATTCATCGAACTGGCAAAAAAGCTTGATGCTCTGTATGGAACGTTAACATGTCGAAAAGATGCCGTATTCATTGCTTTCGTAATTACCTACATTATTGCTGTATTTTGCAATGATTGTTATTCCATGTACAATGTCGATTCTGGCCAACAATTTGCGGACGATATTCTCTATTATAAAGTTACATTTTTTCCGCACTTATCGACAAATTGTGTTGAGTATATATTGCGCTTCTACTATGCCTTTTTCCGTATTTCTATTGTAGCACGTCACGTGCTGGCAGGGTTGATGCTGTTTCTCATATTGGTGACTAGCGAATTATGTGGCCGAGCAGCAAGTAATTTTCGTTGTCAACTGGTGCAAAATGGCTTCGTGCCGGTGGAGGAATACCTGCGCCATGTTCAACTGGCTACCGTCATTAGAGACTTAGACCGCTGTTTTTCCGCTGTACTGGGTATCAAAATCTCCGCAGCATTAGGCTTCACAGTTAGCGCTTCGTTCGATATCAGTGCATCATTTGGTGGTGGTCAGCTGAATAACAGAAACTCGGGAATGATTCTGATGTGGCACGTTCTGTTCCTGATTGCCATGACCTCCTTATGCGCTCACTCCAGCGAACAGGTAAATATTGTATAATTAAGCTTCGTAGCAGATTGTTGAATCAAATGTTCATCATAGTCGGAATAAACTGCTGTAATTAACCGATGTTCGAAGTTTCTGCTACATAATATAGGGCCAGAAAATGATGCAAGCTGTCGATGTGTCCCTGCAAATTGAAAGCAGTATCGACTTCAAACGGGAGGATTGGGTTGCTGTTTGCTTTCAGCGAGGTGAAAAAAATCCACCTTGTTTCACGATTGCCGGCGTAGTTGTCACCCGTGAAAATGCTTTCCAGGTGGGGAATCGGTTATAACTAATTACACAGTAGAGTATCTACATGTTTAACGAGCAAGTACTATTGTATGATGCCCTTTAATTTCTCGGAAATACGTCACTTTCAGTTTTTACTGAACCGACTCTTTCATATGCAGTGCAACAGTACGACTGACCTCGTTACACAAATGAACACAAAATACTTTAATCTAACGATGCTTTAATCTCAAAAATACTGTGGAAAAATGATGCATTTGACATTTTTTGTGTTTTAAAGATATTGCTACTACATATATATAGTTGGCATTTCTGATTATGACGACTTTGCGCTAATTGTGTCTTTTTTTACCGTAGGCAGGGGCAGCGGTAATCAGTTGTGTACTGGTTTTCGCTGAGTTGGCTGATAACAATGGTACTGCTAGATGCGGACGAGACCAACTGCAACTAAATAACACCGAAATTTCCGTTAAATAAGAAAACTGCTTGCGCCAACGTTAACTGGTGGGCTTAGCAGTGCGTTTTAAAATCTTGCGTTAGCGCCCATGGAAAAGAACTGTCGTTTCGACATATACTGAATCAAGAGTGCAAAAGAACCTAAATCGCCACCATCAACAAGTTTGCTTTCCCACGAAAAATTAAACGCTTCCGAGTAACCTTTAGAGATTGCTTTGGCTACTGCTGCTGGAAAACTAAAAGACGGTTGACGTGTTTTTCTAGATCTTTCCCGTGAAAGGTTACGATTTGTTTTGTTGCCACTCCCAATGATCCCATGTTTCACCACCGAATTGACAAAATGAGGACTGTAATGCGTACTGCACTTCAAACGTTTGAAACCAGCAATTTCATCGTTTTCGGTTTTTTGTTTGGTTTACCGCTGTACCACTTTTCTGCTAACTGATTCAGATACACGCTTGCGACAGTATTTGTACTACCATTAACAGTCCAGATGATCCACTGCATAACGCTATACTCCATATCTGTACATTCCCATACTCCCTGTATATAATCCATACTCCAGGTTGGACCAGATACAATGACCGCTAGCCGTTCCGTGGCATTTGACTTCAACACTTTCAAACGATTCCAAACAAGGCACAGGTAACGCAGAGTTACTCACTCCTTTCTGGTGACGCCGAATCAAAACTTAAGACCAACAGAAATCATAGGCTAGGTCGTCCCCAACGGGGCATGGCCTCGAAATTCACGGGATATCATCTAGTCATAAGGTCACACAAAACAACAGCCAGAGAAGATTTTGACAAGAGGGAAGCGAAAGCGGCGCCCAGTGAGCACGAGATCACTCACAGCGAGTTGAATCGGGATCGATCTGGATAGTACCACTATGATAGCAGGCGTCTTTTTGATAGCGATAAAACGAAGTAATGCCACCCACAGCGCTGCAGTATTGAATTACAATGAGATATGCAAGACACTTTTTGCTTCGATTCGGATGTTTACAGATGAGAGCTTATTGTCAGTTTAAACAAATAAACACGCCTATACTTCATACTAACATTTCTTATATTTGCTTCTAGAATAACACCACGCCGGGTACGGCTAAGAATTTGCATTGCACCACGCTTTGATAGTTTTGTTAAGTTCTGATTGACTACTTTGCTGCACATGCACACCTGGTATGTATATTAAAAACAGCGGAGCCCCTCCCTGCATTTGATCCAAAAGCTTTAAAGGAAAGATCCGAAGGCCTTTCCTTTAAAGTCTTCAGTTTGCAAAAACGGAGAAGCACAATCTTTTATTTACAATTTTCTCGACCAAAGCACGGCAGATTGCAGTGCGCATGCGAGATAACGCTTGTGGTGAGACTTATACGGTTTGACCTTTATTCGCTGTTATTTCCGGTATGCCTGTGATTAAAGGTCTAAATACGCATAAGCATGATATCAGTTTTCCTAAAGACCAGCCAAAGATGTATACCGCAACTACCACGCATGGTTTCACGTGGAAGATCATGCAGATATTGATGATACTTTTACAAATCTGTGGCTACGTTTGTTATCCCATCAAGCGTCCCAAACAATGGGCTACTGTTCTGCGCTGTTGGATGTACCTCTACGTTTTGCTGATCGTCGTAGCCAATTGGCATTTCCTACGCCTACGATTCCATCCAATCGAGCGCCAATTCCTTTTCGAATCGGTTTACGCTAGCCGTTTTAGACGTCATGCATTTCGCTGTTATCATTTCAGATTTACCGTGCATCTGCCTGTTGTGGTCGTATAGTCAAAAAATCGCTGAAATATCTAAAAAGCTGGATACTGTATATGGCTACTTGCTTACATGGAAAGACAGGCTTTCTTTGATAACCGGCAAAATAGTATATTTTCTGTCAGTCTTCGCAGAAAATTGCTACTACATTTACTATTTCGACAGCGGTAGACAACTGGAGAACGATATGGATTATCATCAAAAGCGTTACCCTCTAAATCTTTCTAAAGGTCAGCTGGAAGGAGGTGTTCGCTTGTTTAACATCGTTATCCGTCTCACGATTGTTGGCAGATCGATCATTTTTGGTTTAATTATTTTTACCGCAGTGCTGACCAGTTTGCTGCTTCGGCGTTTTAGAATCGGTTTGCGAAATAAATTAGTCAAGAATGGTTGCCTGCAAGCGGAAGAGTACATGGACCATGCGCAGCTAACGAAAATTGTAGCCGACTTGAACAAATGTTTTGCAATAATCGCCGGTATCCGATTTTGTTCAGCGCTAGCGTACACAGTGAACTACGCATTTGAGATAAGTTCTTCGTATGCAGCATGCCAGCCACGGGATCCTCGTAGTGTTATGATTTTGATTGAATAGGTTATTTTTCTGGTTATTCTGACGTCGGCATGCGTTTACTCAACAGAACAGGTACCATTCTATACGATGAAATAAACTTGCGTTGAATAATTATAATCACACATAAATCAAAACTTAGCAAATTAAGATGTTAAATTTACCACAATGTTTTTTGCCGCTATGTTCTATATTGAACAGTTTTCAAAGCTACACCATAGTGATGGTGATTTGATAGTTTAAGAAATATAGTACGTAAATACAGCGTTTTTTGGTCGTTTTATTTGCAGAGCCAAAAATTGGCAAAAAAAGTACGTACATTTTAAGCGAATAAATTTAGAATACAAATTTGATATTCAAATACACATAACGAATGCATGCAATCATTTGTAGGACTAATCGTAACTAGGAGTACGTTTCACTTACCGTGAGAATTCTGCATAGTATGCGTATGACTCATGGTGTTCGGTTTATGTTACAGTTTCACGTATGCAGTACTCTGGTTGTAGTAAAAAATTGTAATGTATTTTAACAATTTAGTTTCTAATTACCCTGAACTTTAGAGTCCAGACGGTAAATAGCATCTTTGCTCGATAAATAACATCTGTGATAATAATCAGCGCAAATTGTTCGCTGTTGAAAAAGGTGTTTCATGTAGCAGACCATTAAATTATTACTTTCTGTATATTCACTGGCAAATTGGCAATACAATTTGTCTGCGTGCCGGAAACGCTTGCATTTTCTGCAGGTAAAAATACCTGACTCTGTGGACATCGTGCCTGGCTAGTACATGCAGAGTACCGTAACTGTAGTCTGTAGATATTAAAAATTTGTGACGTTGGATTAGCAATCATAATTCTGCGACAGGCGTTACTGTTCCGAAATGAAGTTACGCATTATGTTTCTCATTTTCGCTTCATTATGGTGTTTCTCGATGGGAGCTCCAACCGCGATCCCGGACAATGCAGGTAGATTATGAACGTTGCCCCGGTGTTAAGGAGTATTAACAAACCAAAAGCTAATGTAAACAACATTATTGTGTCTCTCCTCTGCCGGTACATTATATAGTATTGAGAACAGAAGCATTCAGATAATAATCTCGAATGTTGTGTGCTTCTTACTTGTTAATCCGGCATTACATTTCTGATGCAATATTATTGTAGCAGACTTAAAGTGTAAGTATCAGTTGTGTTAGCCTAATAAATAATAATGCAGGTGATGATGGGTCAGTCCCGGAATCAGCGACAACCGCGTACCAGCAGCACGGCGGGACGGAGAACTGTGTTCAACATTTGTTCAGCACTTCACCCGGTTATCCGTCCCACTTCGAAGCCGCAAGTTCTTTTGGCAATAATCCAGGTTTTTAACAGCGATCCTGGAAGATCGATGATGCCCGATACTGAACGAATGCCATATAAAACTGTTCACAGTTAAAATAAATCTGTTTTCTTGTACTTATGTACTTGTTAACAGGCCTGTTAATAAGTAATGTATGCTTGAATTGTACTAGTATGGCAAAAAAATACCGTGCAAGGAGAAGCCCATAACCGCCATGGGAATAGGATTATGAATTCCGATGCATAAGATTTTGTGTGTTTCATATAAGTGTAGAATCTAAGTGTAGAATCTATGTTTCATATAAGTATCGAATGGGTAATAAGTTGATAACTAAGACCGTCGCCCAAAAACCAGAGTCAAATCGAGAAAAATTTTATAAGCTTACGGGAATTACATTTTACTGCAAAATGCCGAGGCACATATAAGAAATTAGTAACTACGCGAAGAATAAAACGAAGTATATACGCAGAAGAATAAAATGTGTTATCTTATATTTATATATGTTTCAACGCACCACTGCCATCCACGAAACTGAAACCACTAACATTTCACATATATGCGTAATAAAAAATGAACTCCACTTTCAAATCTCGATACAGGTATTGATTTATGCATACATCTTTATTTTCTAATTTCTACTGTACAGTATTAAAAATTTCCAAAACATTTAAAAATATTTCCAAAACTGACCCGGCGCAGCAGGGCCAACACCACTATTATTATTAGCATTCTATGTTTTTCAATATTCGAAGATTTTCCCACTTTTAATTCTTTAATCCTAATTCCATACTGGAAGTACCGCAAACCCAACTCGTCGCGGCTAGCGCTACCGATACTGCACAATACGTGTTAGCTTGTGGCTTGTGCCTTGTACAAACATATAATTAACATGAAGTTAGGAACTTATACCAAATATAAATAATGTATAGATATTGTATGTTCTTGTACATTCACGGCAAGCAGATCATGCATGTTTGGGTGAAATTTAAATAAAAGTAAATTCAGCAACAAACCAGAACAATGATTTGTTAACAAATATTTATTTAGGTGACACTCTGTTTTACATAAATTAAATAAGATAGCTTGTGCGGTTTTGGAATGGGTTCTGTAAAAATAGAACGCGGTGACAAAGCAAGTGACAAACTCAGCGGGGTGTGCGTCAATGCGACCAATGGTATGACGTCAGTTCGAGATTCGGAGATTTTTTTAGCAAGTCACAAACAACCGTATTCTACAGACATTAGTGAACTGTCAGTAGTCGACGGTACAGTACTGTACATACAGTTTGTTTTGGGAAATTCTTTTCACTTGTTAATTACTTAGTAAAAACTACGTAATTTGTATGGTTTCAGTTGTTTGGTGTCTTTGCGATTTGTCTTTTATTTTTATCTTGCGTGAGTATGTATTCTTCGTCTCTCTCAGTCTTTGGACTGGAAGTCGACATGTATCGCTGGTAAACAGTACGTGATAGTTCTTCCTAACCAACGACTGGCAACAAGTGAAATCGTTCACTTTAATCCGTTAATCGTGCTGGTGATGTTCGACTCGGACGTCTGGCGCTGGGGCGCCGTGGACGTGAAGGGAAGCGACGGACTGATCCGTCGCGGCATGATTCGCGACCTCGATCCCTACTGGGGGATGACCGTGGATTTCGATTATCCCGACCACCACGCTGACGTTGTGCCGTTCAGTCGCTGCGTTACACTGGCCAGTACGGGCACCTACACCGCGGGAGACGCCGTGGAAGTGCTGCTGCGACACTCTCCGCAGCAGCCCTGGTGCTGGCATGCCGCCACACTCCTGGCGGGATCGTGGAACACGTACGCCTTTGTGGAGGTGAAACAGGGAGAGGAGACGCTGCGGGAGGTGCTGGCGCTGGAGCGCGTGCGGGCGGTAGCGCCTCGCGTTCCTCTGCGCTGGAAAGATAAATTCCACAAGTATGAAGTGGACCTGCCGAAGAACTCGGGATTGTTGGCTGTTACGAAGGAAGATGGATTCTGGCAGAGGTGGAACGACGTGACGGGAACCAGGGGTGTGAAAATCGATGGGGAGAAGCTGGTGTATATTTCTGCGGCGAGAAGAGCCATGACCAAGCTAGAGTGTGTAAGTAATAATTTTATGGTATCCAAGCAGCGGTTGATAACTGCATGCTCCACGCACAGCTCTCAAAATTTCATTTGTTCGAAGTTGATTCCTCTCTTGCTGTCAGTTGTTCCAAATCGTTTTACTCTTAAAACTAGTAGACAAATCTTGCACCATTGACGAGGAAGATTTCCCGCTGACGATTTGTGATCAGATAGGTTCTTTCTTAATAATTGCCGAAAACAGGATAAAGACTTACGGTTGTGAATTCTGTATAAAGACTTGCAATTCTGTCTCGTGCTTACTGCTTACAATTAGTTATGCACTCCTAGCATTGAACATCTATTTAACGGCTACATGCAATTTTTCCTTACTGTCACCCGTGCTGCTGTAATTAAATACGAAAAGAGTTTCGCTGAAGCTTATTAAATCTGGAAATACCAAAAGCCTGTCATGAAAAAAGCAGAGGCAGATTAATTACTTCAGTTTTATTTGGTGACTTATTTCTTAGTGTACGCATGTACATGATAATATTTTATGATCAGCTAAGCTGATAGATGAGCCTTGCAGTATCTATTTTGTTGTGAGTAAAAAATAAAAAAATAATACAGTGATACTTTTCTGTAGACACAAGAGCTCCACCGCTTGACAAATCCACCAGCCGGTCGAGGAATGAAACGGACCGCGAACGATGAAAACATTCCTAGCCCCAACACATTACGCCAATTCACACTGGTAAAAATGGATTTAACACGAACGTGCTCTACTAGCTGTGAAAATGTTGAGCGAAACCTGTTGTTGCAGGGTGACTTTTGGCCTTCTTTCAAAGCCTTGGATGCACCTCCGCCCTGCATTAATACTGATTTACCCCCGGAAATGTTATCCAGGATCTTCTCTTTCCTCGACATGGACGAGCAGATAAAATCTCGCCGGGTGTGTCACACCTGGAACACCATGTTGAATTCCAGCCCGATCTCCCTGCGCGCTCAAATTGATGTGACCAACTGTACGGACCGGATGCTTGCTACCATCCTGCACAAAACCGTTACGGAATCCACTAAGATTTTGGTTCTAACTGGGCGCTTCGAAGGATATGATAAGTTTTCCCAGAAGGCCCATGCTCCTTTTCGCACTGCTATGGATATGCTGAAAGCGAAGCAAATCAAACTGTCCTGCATTGTGATTTCCGGGCGAGCGGTCTGGGCGGACGATCTGTTGGATTATTCCGACCGGCAGACGCTGAAATTTCGTACTGGCTGGCGCGATGTGTGTGAGAAGCTTGTGCTGGAGAAGGTGGGAATTCACGCGCTGTGCGAGGCCCAGGATCGTTGTAATGCGGGGTACGGATTGGATCGAGACGCAGACTGGGAGCGCTATGGTACGCAGTCAGAGGAGGGCGTGATGGTCAGTCGCGCCACTGTGCGTATGGATGGACGACACGAGCTGGGGACGTTGCTGGACCTTTTAGAAGAATCGAGTAAGGAGGTGGAAAATACCGAAAGGGCGCTGGTCGAAAAGAAGCTGCATGCGGATTATGGGAAATGCAACCAGAAGAAACGCGAACACCTGCTCAGTGTATGTGAAACGAACCAGAAGTGTGTTGCTCATGTAATTTTGGGCATTGCCTAATTACCCGTGGGCTCATCGATGTGTTATATGCTTATAATTTTTTGTTTACCCTTGAACGTCTGTATTGTTTTCTTCAAAATCTTGCTTTGGTGTAGTGACACAATATGTCCCCAAAACGAAATTTTGACCAAAAACTTGAGCAAACTATAATGTAATGAGTCAGATTGAGCACCTAAGCAGCGAACGTTTTTTTGATATCATTAAAAAACGTTTTATGTTCGGAGATTAATTCGGAGCTTAATCTGATTAATTACATTGTAATTGCTCGGCTTTTTTTGGTACGCATACGCATAAGTTTTTTGTGATACATTTTGTCGGTTTAGAGAGTTTCCAGTTTCGGTTTCCCGTTTAATTTCTGAAATGAAAATCTATTACAGGTGCTAAAGAAATGGCAGATTGGGGATGCACGTTTCCGACCTGACGTGACATGGTCCCAGTTGGATTTTCGTGCACTGGATGTGTCGTCCTTGCGAAAATTGACAGTGGCAGCGCTCCTGTACCGTACTTACATTCCCGCTGACGACGAGGAAGATGAAAGCGGTCCGGACGGTATTCACATTCCGTGGCAGGATCGTTACAGAGTGATGTGTGGCTTGGAGTATGACGATGACGCGCACTGGGATGCGGACGAGATAGAAGCAGACAGCGATGACTCAGGTGGAATGCCGGGATGGTGGGATGACGGATGGGATCCGCGGATGATGCATATGAATCATCAGTAGGCGATAAGAACGGAAACAAAAGCTGAAACTCAAAGATAATTTTTGTTCTTTTGTTTGTTTTCTAGTCTGTTGACATTGTTGTATAAAGCATAGAAGATGATGTTCTTATGTTTTTGCGTTTTCTGACAATTCGGTAACATGGTTTTTTGTTAATAACTTATTATTGTACAGTCTACCGAATTTTTCAGGACCGGTTGGTCGTGATACTGAAATAAGCTTCGCAACTTTTAATATCCCGATGAAACGCAACTGTACTGCATTTTTCGCATAACGAAACGAGACTCGTGCTGAGAATGCTGTATGATATTTTAAACATAACATCACTGTCATATCGTTCGTACTATACGTCGTTATCTTTTGTGTAGGACGACAACAATTCACAACCCATTAATCCATTGCTGTATCGGTTTCGAACTTTCGAGCTCTCTATGTTTTGTTGATGATTAGGATGATCATTTCATGGACGATTGCATTAAGTTACCTCACCCATTTGCACTGCTTCCACATCGCTACGTAAGTACAGTACAGTATTGTACTGTAATTATTAACTATTACAGCGTAATAGGCTAATAGCACGGTGGTAGTAGGAATATCTGCATCTCAAAATTTATGCGTTGTTAATGCTTGTTATCTAGCCCATATTTTGTATCAGGTTTTCCAATACCGTTGCTGTATTGCTTACTATGCTGGCGTTTATCGTCGATTAAATAAGCCGATTAAACAGCTCACGCTGAGGTGCGCTGAACGCTGAATCACGGTAACATTGTATTCAAACCTAAAACAATTTGTTGGATAACGTTGACGCCAACTTACGTGCGCTTCCATTGCGGCGGTACACAAAATTACTGTTCATCAGCCATTTGTGCACAAGTCCGGAGAAACGCTCTTTGCATCCTAAATTCGCGGCTTGCTAATGTTTGAAAGACATGTTCAGCGTACCGATGCCGTGGATGTCCGTGACGACAACGGTACCGTCCGCCGTGGAGTGATTCGTGACTGCGATGATTCCGGCAAACCCATCATCGATTTCGACTATCCCGGTCACCATTGTGAACTAATTCCGCCGGAGCGATGCGTGTTCCGTAAAGAGCAGAGGAAAAAAAGGAGACTGGCTAGGACAGCACGAGGTAGAGACGCTCTTCCGCCGTTCTGCTGACCAGCCATGGCGTTGGTATCCGTCGACGGTCCTGTCGGGAACCTATGTCCACAAATACCGCTTCGTCGAGCTACTCATCGATGGAGACGCAGACCAGTATGTGGTGGCACAAAAACGCATGCGAACAGCTAATTTGCCGATGGAACCCGAAAAGCGAAAGCTGCAAAAATTTTCTTCACCATTACCGAACGATCCCGATTTGTTGGCCATTGTTAACGGGAAAGCTCTTTTCGAAGTCTGGAACGCTAAAACTCGTACTATTGCAGTTGGAGTTGAAGGCAACACCCTGGTTTATCTGGCGTTTGCAGTGCAGCCGAAAGCCATGAGACGTGAAACTTTTGTAGGTTCTGACATTGTGAATTTGTTACTGCGACATTCATGTACAGACTGCGTGCCGAGCATCATTTAAACCAATCTACACAAAGCGTTGACGAAGATGAAAGCTTTTCTTAATTTTCTGCAAAATACTCTGGTCAGTTTTTCATTCAGTCTTTTCTGTTATATTTCTGCGAACAGGGTTAACCACCATTTACCAGTACACGGCTAATTCGATGAATAATGGCTGATGAACTTGGCAATCTTTCTAGCTTAAACACCTTACCGATGTCAGGAAAATTCTGGAAAACGGGAGATCTAGTACCGAAGGAAAAGACGAGCAAAATGACCTTTCATCAGTTGCTACCAAGCCGGTACGAATAAACAATGGCGTCGGTCTAGTAAAACAGCGCGCTGTACTTTGGCTTCTGAATTCACAACGCGTGCGTATTTCAGGCGATGAGTATTAACACCTATCTGTATCCAGAAATTCTAATGCGAATATTTTCATTTCTGGAACTGAAGGATCAAATCAACTCCCGCCAAGTATGTGCAAGCTGGAATGCCATTTTGAAGTCCAGACCAGTGCTGTCCCAAGTGCAGATCGACCTGCGCGATGGGCGTGCCCAAGAATTAGTTGCGGCAATGGAGAAGCTGATCTCCGCCAGCACCAAAACGCTGGTTATGCGCCGTGCAGGGTTTACCCGCGCTGGTTTTAGCGGGCCCTTCTCCCATCTGCCGTGCCGGGTGGTGATGACACTGCTTAAAGCACGAAAGATCAAACTCCCAACGGTCATTGTGGCGGACCTTAACGATCTTAGATTTTTCCATCCGACCGCTCTTCGGTTTGGATGGGAGGAGATCTGCGACAGACTGGTAATGGAAAACATCACGCTGAGCCTGTCATTTGAAACGAGGAACTATCGGGATGAAGGTGACCTTTTGAGGCCGGAGACGGGAACGCACTGCGTATGGGAAACGCGCGCTAAAGATGTTTGTATTAAACTCCGTGTGGATCACGCTGTCGTTGCGATGAAAGCCGAGTGTCGAATGGAAACGGTCCTGCAATGGCTGGAAGAGGCTGAAAAAATCCCGGCTGCTAAAACGACGATCGAGGATCGTGGTGCACCGTTAGTGAGGACCAGCAAAAGTCCATACAGAGGGCACTGCAGATGGATCATGGGGAACATAACCGGACAGTGCGTTACGGTGTGGTGGAAGTATGTGGTCGGTTTTGGAATTAGGTTCACTTAGATTCATTGTGCTTATAGTTGTTACAATGGATGATTCTGCGGGTTTTTATCGCGAGCGTATCTGTATAATTAAGGATTGTTTTGCAGATACTTAACAACTGGGAAGTGGGAAATTCAGGATGCCGTGCTCGTTTGCATGCCGATGATAATTATAGATTTTGCGACACTGGATCTGCAGTCGCTGAACAAGTTAACCATCTACGCGCTATTCCATTTTTTTGGTGCCGAAATAAATACCTGGTAGATTATGTAATGACCCTTTCACCGTTCACGTACGCAAACAGCCAACCGAAAGGATCGGAAAACTCATTTTGGACAGGATCCCCGAAAATCGATTTACAAAACAGCTTCGCGTCTGCTTGTTCGTGTTTACTTGCACGGTACTAAAGCTTTTGCCAAAGATCTTCAACGAACGGTGATAATCGAAGCAGCAACAAATAAGTACTCTCGCCAGTTCCTAAACTAAACGCACTGCCATCATAAGATGGGCAGAACCGGCAGATTACAGTAGATATTTTATACCCGGTCTTATCAACTTTGATTTGGAAAACACTGCGGTCGTTGACTGTATTCGCTTTTTTTGGATGTTTACGGCAGTCAGTCGAAAGAATGCAATGACAGTTTGTACTCGTACTATCTTTTTGAGTGGTTCTTTGCTGCACAAATACCGAACGTCATTAAATATTTTATTGAATTCACTACCACTTTCACCGGCTCTGATTTGGCCCCCGCTTTGCGTTTGATAGAGTTTGATAGCGTGCAGTTGTTGAAACGTTCATTAACAAAAAGGGTACCAAGCAGATTTTAGCAATTGTTAATTTGTTGTCATTTGAACTTGCGTTGACAGCTGTCAATTCATGCCCTGAAGGCAATGCCAACCGACATATTGCGCGCATCGAACTTTATTCATTAATCTGCGACACTACGCAGCAAAATATGTATATAAAATCCCAGATAAAACAAAACCAGATAAATATTACCAATTCAGATTACGGGCTATAAATGGACCAACTTCCGGTCAAACAGCACAACAAAAAGAAATTGCATTTTATAACCGCCTGACAGCGGAGATAACAGAAGAAACTGACATCGCAACAGACAAAATTAAAACCAGTTCAAACGAATTAACCTAAAAACTAAAATCTCTCAAAATCAACACCTAACCAACGCCGCTACAAACTGTCTTGAAAATCACAACTAAAACCCCCTAAGAACAAGAGCAGCAAAATACAACATTATTTTGCTTTTCTGTCGACAAAGAAATATTCTCTCTCCCTTGGCGTCAGGTATTTTTTAGATTTATCTGTACAAAAAGAGACGTATGGCGTAGCATGCGAAATGGGATGCAATTTATGCAAAAGAATTCGTGTAAATTAACTTATGAAACCAGCCCACACCCATCACCCCCCGAAAACAGCGCCTCTCTTCCGCCAACCAGAAGAAGCCAGAGTACAAACAAAAAAACGGATTACAGCAGAGGAAGCCGTCGGCAGTTGTCTCTTCTTGTTCGTGCTTGACCCAAAACGAATAAAACATATTGCGGATGAATATCGGTTCTGCGTCCGACCGAGAGAGAAGAGAGAGCACACCAGTTATCCAATTTCCCGGTCCATCGAAGAGTAGGTACAAGGAAAAGAAAGCTGTCCACAAAAGTGGTTTTCTTGATTGATCAAAATACGCTTAGTCGAATCATGGTCATGCTAAAATTCGGCGAATTCTTTGGCACATTTCTCCGTCGCGGATATTCTTAGCGGCTCCTCTTCGTACTCGTCGAAGTTGCTCGTGTCGCCGGCACCTCGGGTAATCTTGGGAATAAATGGGGCTTCGATCTATACGCGAAACAGAAAAATAGAAGCAAAAAATAATTTACTCCGTAGAACATGCACACGCAACGAAATTATTCGCATAAATAAATAATTTACAATTTCCAAGTGGCACCATATACAGTAAGTAATCTGTGTATAAATAAGTAATAACAATATCTTGCTACTCGCAAATGCAAATATCCGATAGAACAATTTACAAGTAACGTTAGAACGAAGTACATGATTACAGCATTATTATCACTGTCCAAATTCACACTGGATAACTGCAATGGGTAGCGGCAACCTAAAACTAAGTACTGTATGCGTATTGCGTACAAAGCTTACGAAATAATTCTACAGTACATCGGTAAATTGGGGACAGAAGGATGGGGAAACAGTTAAGGAATGGGCAGGGAATACGACCGATAATGCAAACGAATGCACACCCATCACCCAAGCCATAAACAAGAACACAAATCCGCAAACCATGTCAATGCACTCATAAACACCACAGCACAAGGAACGTCAAACAAACAATTCTTCCAGCTCAGTGCGCCTAACATCACCGGAAACCCAACGACACGAATTAGGAGAAGAAAAATGATTGTTAGTTAATTACCATGCCGAGAAAGAGAGCGCCAGTGGGGACAATGTAATGCGTGTCATGCAGATGCTTGTGTGAGTAATGTGTGTGCGAAGAAGAGGATTTGATAATGCGAAAACAGGAAGATGAGCAGAAATGGATAGAAAGGAAGCACAGCGAAGTAAATGCGTGGGAATTAGATTAAAGGTAGGCTCAGCGCTGTCCCGCTCTCTTGAGCTCAGAACAGTTCAAAGAGATCCCCATGCAAATTGAAGGCGGAATAGGAGACGTTGGTAGTCTCGCCCACCACGTACGGATCATAGTGGCGGGTATCTTCTGGATACTCTATGCGCGGAATGAAGGGTGCCGGGTCCTAGCATGCTGGTTGCATTAGTCAATCAACTTAAAATTACGCAGCACAATTCATGCAGATAAACAAACCAATGAAAGGTATCTGGCTAATGTTCCTAAATTACAAAATCAAGACTACAATCTGAACTAATCAGCCAAACCGATTAACGAAATTACAAAGTGGATAAACTGTAAATCCCAAATTGCAAAAATATCAATAAAGATTTTTTTAAAAAGAGACCGAAATTAAGATGTTAAGCCAAACAGCAACAGTAAAAGCTACAGAATAATGCTGAATAAGGCATCATTCCATGTTTAATACTTTCCCGTATTAAGAATATGGCTACGTATGCCGAAATAGGAATATATACCTTCTTCTGGTAAATTGCTATCCAGTCCGTGGTGGCGAACCATTTATGATTTTTAATATCGTTAACGCCGTTCTTCAGGTTACCAAAACGTTTGGTCAGATCAACTTGCAGTAGATTGCGCAGTAGATCTTTGAGGTCCGAACTAAAGTGTGAGGGATAACGCACCTGCAGATTTACACCGCATGACAGCAACAGTTAAAAAGGTTAACAACGTCAACTCAACCCAGTTGCTAACCTTGCCAGAAACAATCTTCTCATAAATCTGGATCGGTTGGTCCGCGAAAAACGGAGGATAGCCGGCGGACATTTCGTATACCAAAACCCCCAATGCCCACCAATCAACCGCTTTATTATAACCCTATAAAAAAACCTTGGTAAAATTCAAAGTTCAAACCATTCAAACCACTGGTACATTTCAAATTTCAAAGTTTTACTATCCTACAATACCTGTAGGTTTATAATAAGATTCAATCATAAAAATGTGTTTGGAACATACGTATAAGTAACAAAAACCATACTAGGAAATTAAGTTGGCTGTAGTTCGATGGATCCAGTTTTGCATAAAGTGTACAGAAACAGTATTATAATTATCACTACAACACAAAATCTTCCTGACTCGACAAATAAAAGAGATATCTATGTAAAAAACTAAAAATTTCTAACTCTGTGAATAACAAAATAAAAAAAATTTTAGTTTAAAAAGCAGCCACTAAAATTAATAATAACAGTGTACCGAGCGCTTACTTTGCTAAGAATAATTTCTGGAGCAAGATATTCGGGTGTCCCGCACAGCGTCCATGTGCGGCCTTTCACGCGTTTGGCGAAGCCAAAATCAGTTATTTTCACATAGCCTGTAGCATCAATGAGCAGATTCTCCGGCTTCAAATCCCGGTAGATTAAGTCCAACGAGTGCAGATATTCGAATGCAAGGACGATCTGAGCAGCATAAAATCGTGCGTGCGCTTCACTGCAAAAACAGCGAAATCAATCACGCACAATCTTAACAATAAGGTAACCTGACTACAAAATCTCTTCTACCATACCACACATGTGCAGATACTTCTAACAATTATTTCAGCAAATTTTATTCCTTCAGATACAGGAGCAATGTGAAACGATAAAATTCCCACACTATTTCCGTAAGCTATGGCAACTCTAGATCGAAACCCGACTGCGTCCAACATTGTTAGGCGTAAACGAAGGCTCGTGCGTATCTGTACTTGATAGTTATGAACTATACACCTAGAACATTCACTTTATAATGCATGCATATTACACTCCACGGCCATTAATCGCATAAGCCCTACCTGAAACGGCCAATTCGCCGCAGGTGAGAGAACATTTCACCGCCTTGGACAAATTCCAAAACCATATACAAATTGGAATTATCCTGCAAAAATTAATCGTTAAAATCCCTACAGCAAGCACAAAGAATCATAAGAGCTCTCCAAGTTTACTTTAAAGTGGTAATCGAGCTGAACAAGGAATGGAAACGAGATAGCTTGTAAAATCTTCTTTTCATTCAATGTGTGTTCCACCTGCTTCAATTTGACCACCTGTTCCAAAAAAATCATTAGTTCATACAATTAACGACATCTGCTCCCAAACAAAAAAATCTTGCGATTTATAAGCTATTTAGGACAAATAATGCAGGCAGATAAAAATGCAAAAATGTATCACTTTCCCTTAAGAAAATTCACACCATCACAATAAATAAGTGCGGTTGCAATGCCATAAAATTTCACTTACAAAATCAGAAAAAAACCAAATTTAAAAAAATGCCATGCCCACAAAACAATCAGTGCAAACACTAATATATCTGTACCTTTTGTTTATCCAAAATTTTCATTGCATAAAACTCGTTGTTCTTATGCTTATGCTTAACCAGCATCACGCGTCCAAACGATCCGGTTCCCAGCGTTTTGATCCGCTCGAAATCCTCCAGCGCCGCCGTATTCTATAGAAAACCAAAAATGCGCCCTTCAAACAGAATTACACCAAAAAGCCCCGTTTTGGCCATTATCGGTCGTAATCAAAAATCAATAATCAAGCATAAACTGGAGCCATGTCTCAGCATGTTCGTTCCTGTTGTTATCCAACCAAAAAACATTTTTTCCTCTTTCAAAAAATTAACTCAATCTAATCCGGATTACGAACGATTATATTACCGTTCCCTGATCTTCTTCCCCATGATGGTAGTCCCCTTGCTAATCCACATCCCGACAAACTCATTTCGTCTAATGCAATTACATCGGCCTGTCTATATATGGCACATTCCATTTTTCCCTCCCTCGCACAGCATTCACCCATCCATCGTGTGCATGTATGTACTTATATTATGTAACCAGTGCACTTTTCTTTCTACTCCGTAGATTTCATATAGCTGCTGAGAGACACAACACACGCCCGAGATTCACACCGCCACATGGTGCTCAGCATCCTGCCGCCGTTGACAGTCAATTCGCCTACTCGGGTGTATCCACAGGATCACCATCAAAACTACGACCGTAAATACACATACCACATACGTTGCATGCATGCATGCCTACGGGCTCTTAATAGTTCCATGCTGGGAATATTTCTCATTTTCGCAGCATGGAGATCGCGGGAAATGCAGCCCAAATAAACGGTGTGCCATGAATACCCCAATTAATACTGTCAAATTGCTTAGTGCTTTCGTTAACGGAAGAATATTTTGGTCAGTTGTAAGAGCGTTTAAACAGTCAAAGTTTTTCCTCTTCCGAGACATTCTTTCGCAATTAACGCGTGCTGATACGAATGAAAAGTCGTTACCATTGTTCCAAGCGCAAATACTGAAAAACAGGCAACTAAAGGGATTAATTTTGATGAAATCTCGTTGCCATTACAAACAAGATCAAAACTCGTAGAAAATATAAAATAAATTCAGCAGCATTAACACTTGCACAAAATATGATTCTCCATATTTTTCTTGTATAATGATAGTATTCTTGTATAATTCTCGAAATTTTCTTGTATAATATAAATCCGGTTAGACCGGTGTAATATTACAATTAGCGCTCAGAAGATATTCCCCACTAATCCTGTGGGCTCATTACACTTCGGTAACCCATACGGTGCTGCACTCGTCGTTCCGAGGATCAGACCGGAAATGAGAGGCTTATTCAATCCAGGTCTCTCTCGCACTCTCTTGGGCTTATAATTGCCAGTACGGGAGTACCTAGTACTACCTACAAGCAACGCCCCTTGCCTATACTGAGAACCTTTGACCTTTGCGTTTTGTCCTTTTGGAATAACAGGCAGAACAACGACTGGGGGCACGTCAAACATCTCCGCCGTCGCGATCATCTAATACAAGGCCCTTTTCGCTAATTCTCACCTTGGCCGGAGACTTCCATTTTTCCTCGAATTGCTCCTTAGCTTGCTCCAGAAACTCCTTAACTGCAAAAATCAGACAAGAAATTATTTGACAGCATGATATTCAATGTATCTCTTAAAGGTACGAGTACATATAATGCTTCGACAAACAGATTCCAACGATCTCTGACATAGTTTCAGCGACGCTTGCACCGTAAACAGTTACACATGTACATAATGTACAGCATTCTATTAGTATGGCCACCGATGCCTCCAGTAAAGCAAACGAAACAGTCGGTAATATGACTCGGTATATCACTTGCATCCCCAAACTCACAAAAACAGGGAACGACAAAAAATCTGTTTATGTAGATTTCCAGTTTCGTGAAATATGGATAACAATCTAGCGATCATTCCTGCCGCTACAAACTTATTTCGCATGAATACACAGGAGACTAGTTGGGTAATATTCCCCATCGAGCCTAAACAGAACTTCCACATTTGACTTTTTTAATGGTAATACCGCTTACAGTAGAATTATGTATTACCCGACAGACCGGATAATGTGCCAACAACGACTCCCCCGAGCAAACTCCGTAACATGTGTCAAAATGCGCCACAAAAACCATAAGAAATATACCAAGCTGTATCACCGAAGCAGAAACTTAACGAAACGTAAGAATAAAAAAGTTGCAAAATAATACACATAAAGAAATGTCGATTAGCTGCGCAATTAACAACTATAAAAATATTAAACAAAAATGCTTTCGCTCGTATTCAATAAACCAGACTTTAAAAATTTTGCAGTAGTCGTATAGATTCAAGTAGTAGCCATTTTATGCCTTTCCATAATATTATTGCGTAACCATTAAACTTATTAAACTTAAAGAACATGCCATCTTTCTACGCAGTCTGACTGTGAGTTCAGACCCATTAAACAGTAGCATCATGCATATGCATCATAATCTCTCCCGGTTTGTTTATTCAGTGACCAGACAAAACGCTTGCCCCTGAAAATCAAACCACGATCGACAGTCACTTACGCCGCGTGGCTGATAATTGTTGACATTAGCTCACTTTCCCCACACCAGCCTCTTCTCACACCGCATAAATAAACTTTAAACCCGACAGAACAAAGCTCACATTACACACCACCAAATTCCCTATACGAAGCCCCATTCATACAGATATGTGCGCCGCGCAGGAAAAAAAACAACTGGAAACAACTGTCGCACCCTGTCCTTTCCAAAATGCTGCTGTTAGAAGCAAACCCGCCTGCCATTTCTCATGACACCCAGCACGGAAAAAGTCCCCTAACGTCCACCATATACGCAATCGTGCAAAGGCGCACACACACACACGTTTAGGCACAGGAAGCAGTCAAGGCCTGACCATCGATTTTTTATAACTTAAGCACCTTCCCATTTGTAGTCTTTTATGACTAGCAAATAACATACATACAGCGAAGCTGCCACTTGAAACCCAAAGGAGCGACAATGTGGACGCAGGACGTCTAAGTAAACAGATCTAGGCAGGAAGATTTTACCTAAATACATGTCACAACCCAATCACGCGCCATGACAATCAGTTAGCGTAATTAAAAGAGATTCAAGAGTCAAAGGAAATACTCATGAAAATTTTCCAAACATTTTAACACACTAAATTAACTGTACCATATTGAAATCTTAGCAACATACTATGTGCCCGAAGCACGTGCATATCTTGATTACTAAAGCCTCATCGCAAAAATATATTTCAAGTTCAACCTTTAGCGGAAGCTGCTCACTGCGTTAATTTATACTCCAATTACTGCACGGGAAAATTTCCCTTCGCCACTATCCAGCAGCTAGCTGATCCATCATCATCTTTTCGCAAAAGACACAGCATGAACGAGCTGTCACAAGGAGAAAACAATCCGTTTAATTACAGTACAACCTCACATACACATATGCACAAGTAATACGTCAAGGCCAAGCAGAATTCATTGCAGAGAAAAATCCCATTCGACACATCAGGCAAAATAGCTAATCTGGTACATCACACACCAATGGCACCACCCACCCCCATTTCAACCAAATTGACCATATTCAATCAATTTTTTGCGCACTTTCGTTCCACTGCACAAAACATCAACAAACATCAGAAGCCGAAAAAATCTGCCATAATTTACGCCCTGAAATTTCCGATTCTGTACACGCATGTACTTTAGATTTCCAGTCACAGTCAGCATACCGTGGTTCCACTAAATAGAAATACGAAGTCAAACTGACCATTTTGAAAAAATGGTCAGTTAAATCTATAAAAAACGCACGATGCCTCCCAGGCGTTACTGAACTAGTAGCAATAACCAAAACCCGACCGCTCGCCAACCACACACACTGTAACCGTAGGCTTAATCATATCGCCACGATGTCGTTTTCAATGGGCGATCAAATCACTCTAAAATCCCTTATCTTTATTATGTTAGAAATTTTCGCTGATTAAGCAACGTACACGATCAAAGCCAAAAACTTATATCGTGTCGGTGTCACACAGGCTGTAGCAAAACCATAACATACAAAACGGCAAAACCTACATCGTTCATCGACCAACTGCGGCTCGTCAGCCCAGTCCTCATCCTGATGTCCAGTGGGCATATTGACCGGCGTACTGCTGACAGTTACCCCCGCCGCCCCGCCCATCTCATCATCCACCGCCGCCGGTAGCCCGAATTTGTTCACAAAAGGGCCCCCTTTCTCATGGTGAAGATGATGCGTGGTATTCATAGCATAATTAAACACAATGTAATGTTACGTTTTCCCACACATCGGCCCATAAAATTTATAAGATATTCCCGGATTATGTAAGTAATCCCGCAATGTCAACACAAGGATATTAGATACATTGGACGGCCAGGGTAGAAAATGATGGACACGTAAAAGTACCCAATTGTCACAGCCGCGACATCATATCGAATTCCACTATCACTGCACTTTAATCGCAACACCAAACAACCACCGCCAAATCAACCTGGCAGCGCCAAGAACCCCGACAATCGTTCGCAACCGATCAAAAGATGCAATGCAATATAATATTATGTGTGCGTGTGTTGGTGGTATAATAATATATCAAATAAATAACCCAGCGCATTACACTGTTCGAGCACACAATTTTCAAAACCCCCAACGCTGCTGCAGCAGCATTACTGCAACGGCAAGCCCACCCAGTAGCAGCTGCATTGGCTTATCAAGTGGATGACGTCGCGCTGCCAGTAGTTGTGTTCGCGAAGTCCGCTCGACGACGTCGCCGATCGAAGAGTATAGCTGGCATTAAAAGCGCGCTGACACTACAGATTTGGGATACGCTTGTTTAATGCCTGTAACATGTACTAAGACCTTGGACAATTCCCTATTTCTCTCGGGCTGCGACATATCGCGCTGATCGTACCCGACGCCTGTAAATGTGTGCCGGGCGCTTTAGGATTTAGATTTATGGATTGGGGGAATTTAATAGTGCTTCACATGCCGGGAATGTGCTGTGGTGAACATGAACGTAAATCACAGGATGGTATGTACGAGTACACTCACAAACGCATACAGCACATCCCAACGACGCGGCTTAATATGTAATATTGGTATTTAAGAAATCGGCCTTGTAGCACAGGGATCTGCTTTCTTTTCCATCCGTTCTTGTAGCCAATCTCTTCATGCCTTCCCTAGTCCAGGCACCGACATCCTGCCTATCGTGGGGCTATCAATCGATCGCACAGCGCATGTACCAGTGTAACCGAGTATCAAATTCATTTTACAGTACTCGTTACACTTTCGTTTGCCCTGCCTCATTAACCTGCACAAGATACCGCAGAATCGTAGGAACGTGGTGCATCAATCAAAGAACTAGGGTAGCATGTCCAAAAGTGCATGTTTTCCCCTCTTCTTCAAGAAATAAGAGTAACTACTGTAGAAATTGTAAAGAACACAGAAGTACATGAGCGACACGCAACATTTCAATGCGTACCTTATACCGGTAATACAGAATTTGCAATCAAATATAAACTAATTGAAAAACCAATCGCAATTAATCATTTCCCCCTTCGGAAGAAAATGATGGTTCCGATTTTTGTACGTACTTAAATAATAACATCACAACATTTAATCACATAATTTTAACGTGGAATCATGCCTAAGGCGCAAGTTACGACTACCTGTATTAAATCAGTTATCTCAGCTCCTTTACATATGCAGCCTCAGCTACGCTCCTAACAACAACTTTCTTCTCAAATTCTCACTTGTTAACCGGGACTAGTTCACAACTTTTGTAAGATAGACTGTCGTCTTAATGAGCTTCCGTCTACTTCCGCCATTGCGCACGGGAGGTACGGAATCCTCGGAGACAGTCCGAGTAAACCAAAACCCAGAAGAAAGTAGCTCAGAACAATGTACTGAAAAACGCACACCTTCGTGCTGCATTATGCGTTACTATTGGTACGAGTATGGTTCAGAAAACTGATTCATGGGATACATGTGGCCCATAGGCAGAATCATAACTTCAGTGCTCTTCAGCCCGTGCGTAATCGATAGAAAACCGACGGTGAAATGTGATCCCGATAGTAAGAAATACGCGTTAGAGCTCCCACTATTAGCATGTCGCGCAAATGAGTGAGACGAACAGCAAAATTTCTAGTGCCTGTCTTATATTAACGATACATGTAACATTTTTTCCCCATAAGTGCGCCGGGTATGTCGTAGTCTAGTAGACATGATGCTAACCAGGGTAAGTATGATGTACAATACTCGACATGCCTCAAGTCGACATTTTGATTTGAATAAGCCGAATCCGATGTCGGAATCGCGCTATCAGCATCAGCAACCCAAGCCTACTCAACGATGCGGAAAATTTCTTTACAAGAGGTTATTATTCTATTACGGTTAAACTTATTACTACCTACACAGGCAATACTTGGTGCGATTTTATATGTTTAGTCGTATGGCAGCATACCATGGATAGTGCGCAGCTACTTCTTAAATAGCCGGTTTGCCGTCATAGTTCCCGGCACAGTAGCTGGACAATAAAGATTATGTCACAGTACTTCGCTTTTCAGTTTC